TATGGGGGGTTAGAAAATGTATATTAAGAAGTTATTAAGCGTAATTAAGGGGAAATATTAGAAAGTCTATCATCTGTGTTTAGTCTTTTAGGTTGTCACGGATCAGAAGTGGTTAACTAGGAAAAGGACATTATCATTCCCAATAGTTGTAGTTTTTAAACATCACATGTCTTCTTCATTCCATGTATAATCATGGGTGGCTAATTAAACAATTTGCATTTCCATACACAACAATAGAATTACAAGAATATCAATTTAGGTATTAATGTTTGACCAATCTATTATATGACTAGATAATTCATTTAAATGCTAAGATGTTATACAAATCTATACGTTTGATGAATCATACAAATTTTTATATTTCAGTCATTTCAGGAAAAAATTATACATTATGTCAGAGTGTATCTTTATAAAATTGAATAATTGCTTTTCGCTTAAGGTTTTGGGATTAGTAACATGTCTTGATGCGCTCATCCACGTTAATCCATTCGTCGGCAATACAAATTATTCTACATCTTCTAATCCATTACATTGCTTGTAAATGCATTGTTATGCGTTAAAGAAATATAAATACTTCAGTTTACTTTTTCATCCACAACAAAATAATTTGACTTCTCGACTTAATCAATTTACATTGCTTGTTATTGTTTTTGAGTATAATGATTAACAAACAATGGTAATATCCATCAAAAGAAAATGAATAATTGTTGTATATAAAGATGTCAAGTTCTCGTGATTCAGTGATGACACTCCAAAGTCCATATGTAGACACACACAATTCTCAAACCTGTTGTTTATCTTGTCTTATGCGCTGTCTTTTGTTCTCTCAAGTCTCGTGCGTTGTTGTCCACAAAAAGATTAGAATAGTTTATCTTTTGAGTGTTGACGGCGATTACAATAGTTTAGTACAAAGCTCAAATTATTAATTGCAAAGTAGAATGTTCCAGCTTTACAATTACAGAATTGAACATTTTGTATAGAACGTAACTTAATGGGCTTGCATGTGGGTTTTATTGCTTTAACAAACTAAAAAATTATGGTCTTTGATATTTATATTTTCCCATTCTAAAATGTTATATTTCAAAACTTATGGAGTTTTTTGTCTGTGTGTTGTTTTTCTATTTTGCAAGCAGGTTTTGAACCGAGACACAAGATTTCTTCGGGCCACTCGAACTTGGAACCTCATATTCTTCTATGCCAGAAGTTACAAGGTATGGTTTCGATCAATAGAGTTATCAACTCATGTGTTGTTGTTGTTGTTCTTGTTCTTGTAATTGTCACTTGTATTACTAACAAAAAACATATATATCAACTGTTTCGATCTTTATTTTTTCATTCTCTTGAAAAATTCAATTTTTATAGAAAAAAACAGGAAGGGTATAAATTTATTGCATATCGAATATATATATAAAAACTTTCATCAATTTTTATATGATTTGATGAAAGTAATTAGAGGTAAATTCTTAAGTAATCATCCATGCTTTTGTACTCCACCTCCGGATAAAGACTAGAAGCTTCTTCGTCTTCTCCGACATCGTGATCAGTGAGACAACCTTCGTAGAAAATGTGATAGAAATGTCCTATCCCCGCTTGGTGTGGAATCTCCATTTCTACATTAATACAATATGTTCCAAGAAAACAAAGTCAATTAATGTATTAATGTAGATGGACCTAAACCTGGCCCATTAAGCTATACATTGCTGCAAATGATGATGTTACGTTAACACTATTATTTAACTTACGTTCAATGTTGGCAAGGAAGTCTCTTGCAGCAATATTGGTTTTCTCCAATTTGTTTCCGGTTAGCTTTTCCCATATCTGAACTAACTCGAGCTGCGTGAGAACATTGTCCGGAGGTCTGATGTTCACGGTTTTGTTTAATGTTCGTGGATCGTTTAGTGTCTTTGCGGTGTATTTTGCGATATCCTCTTCATCCGCAAACACCACTATGAAATAAAACGGTATAAAACCACAATTATTAAAGGAGAGTACTCAAGAGATATTGATTTATATATAAAAAAAGAGTTGTGTATTTATTTATTTTTATTTTTTTACCTTTGACATTTCCATCACCGTAAATATTAACTTGTTTCTTTGGAGGAAGTAAAGTTTCCATCTGACATAATCCCCCGGCCATGTAACCGGCAAAGCAAGCACCAACAACGTAAGTGTATGGGATTCCGGCAGCCTCTATCGCCTTACGAACTTCCATTTTCTGGTCGAAGGTTTCTCTTCCGGGCGGTAGCGCGTGTCCCATACGCGGTGGATCCATACCAAATTCAGATGGTAGAAACCTCTGAAAATAGTAACTTTTATGTGAGTATACTATAATAAGAAATAAATAACGTTCGATATGTTTCACAATTAGGTTAAGTTATGTACGAATATTTTATTTTAAAACTTATGTGTTTTCCAGTTTTATTATAATATTCAAATTCATATATATTCATATTTATTATTCTAATATAAAAGACTATGTGGATCAATTTACATTAGAATTTTGGTGTATTGATACCCCTTTTCCTTTACCTTATTATAAATTTGTAAACTCATTTCTTGTAATTAATTAGTTACATGCATATGTATACTATATATGGTTACCAAATTAAATATATTTATTTATATGTATATGTGTGAACTAATTTAAATATACCTACAGTATATAAAGTCACCGAGAAGGATTTGATTACTTCTCCATAAAAAGGAACAGGGAAAAAGAAAGGATAAATCATTTGAAGACTTGAATCTATCACTGAATTTAAGTATAAGGAATAGGTTAGTCTTTCTTATTTACAAGTAAGTGTTTGTGGTTGTATAAAATAAAAACTAGACGATTTTGAGAATTAGGTTGCATCTACTTTTAAGATTTTATAGATTGGCATCACAAGTTTTGAAGCCAATATAAATCTTAACTTGTAATTTATATATACCTTAACGTTACCAGCCTCTTTGATGGCTTCGACGAGCTTGAGCTGGAGAAGAATGTTGTGGCTACGGAAGTGAACGCCGGACATGGCGGAGACAACGACGTCAACAAGTTTCACGGCTGAGACGAGGCTCTCGTGGTCGGAGAAAGAAGCTTCAACGATACGTGCGCCTAGTTTCTTGAAAGAGAGAAGGAGTTGGACTTTCTCGACGTCGAGACCAATCTCTGGCCGCAGCAAAACGTAAGTCTCGTGACCTTCGGCTATACAAGCCCTTACTATACTCTTCCCTATGTACCCACTCGCTCCCACCACCAAAACACGTGCTTTCTCCTCGTGTTTTCTCTCTGATCCCATTTTGTTGATTTGTTCTTTCGGTCTATATGTTTTGTAGAAGTTGCCTTGCTTGATTGTGTATTTATATATGCAGGGGTTCTAAGTTCTATCTACATATAATGAGTGTGTGTACCCTAATGAAAAGAAAATACGTATTTTTTTTTAATAAGATGTCGCTAGACTACTAGTTTAAACTACAAGATTATTAATTAATATGTACACGACAATATATAGGAGTTTTCCGGTTAAATTGATAATCATGGGTAAGAATAAATGAAATGTGTGAATTAGAGAAACATGTGATTACGTAAAAAATTAAAGAAGATAATGATAAGAAAAATAATTATGAGATATTGATGAAAGAAGGATGCATGGGGTCGTCGGTGGAAGATTTGAATTTAATTTTTAGAAAACAGAAAAGGACATATTACCATTTACTTCGTCATTATGTTCTAACTTCTAACCAGATCTTTCACTGTTAGGCCAGAATACTTCATCAAGGATCTAAATAAACCAAAAAAATAATGGATATGTGGGTTCCGTATGTCGATAGTAAAGGATCAATAGGGCATGAAGCAAGAGATCTACCAGTGTCGAGCTCCTCGAGCTTTCCGAGAGTTCGAGCAAAAAAAATGAAAGAGTAATCTGCAAATTATAAGTTTAAAGAAGGAAAACCCTAAAGACAACATTATTGGAGGTATCTTAAGCTATTTCTATTGGAGAACTTTAATGGGTACTTTAAACACAATCAATTAATAAAAAATAACAAAATCAAAGAAAAAGAGAGGAACCGTTACTTAAATTGGTACTAAAATTAATCAAACTGTTACTTAAATTAACAGCATCAGTACTTAGAGCAAGATTATTGGGGAGCTTTTAAGTTTTGCTCTTAACATGATTTTCCTCTTAAAAGGGTAAGAGTCTCCATTTTTTCTCTTACTTAAGAGATCATTCTTACCAAAAATCACTTTTTCCTTTTAATTAATAGACTATTCTCACTCTTAAAATACTACCAATAATCATGGTCTTACATAAAATAGAATATCAGCAATTAAAATTAAAAAATAAATAAATAAAATAAAATAATATTTTTTATTTTTTTTAAGTACTACTCACGAGTGGAGAGGGCCTTAGAGGGCTAATATATTATATTTTTTCTTTGTAAAATTAAAATATCTTATCCCTGTAAGATACCCCTAATAATGTTGTTTTAAGGGAGACCAAGTTGACTCAAAATCGATACGCTATTGAAGTCAAAATAGAATAAAAAATGGAAGCATATAATACGAATAATTAGCCACGTTAAATCTCCGTCTGTATATAAATAGAAGATCTTGGAGACTCTAGAGGGGCTCAGAGAAAAACTTATCAATACAATATCGATCTTACACTCGTCAACTTCTTTATACATTTTTATAAGCAATTTTATACATTTCTGCTCTCATACTTATATTTCTAAATACGTATTTGTCTTTCAATCACCATGTTAAATCATGGTGTTGCAATTTGCAAACTTGCGGTAACCAAATTAATTAAAGCATAGTGGACCACATATAGCACAGTGGCACCATCATGGTGGTGGTCGGGAGATGTACCTGAAGATATCAGAACGGTTTTGGACTCAACCAAAGAGAGTTTTGAGTTTTGACTATTGTCGAGACACAAAGCTTGTGAATATCTTCATATTCCTAATGTTTTACGTGAAAGAAGACTATTGGGAATAAATAATTCTACTTTATTTTATTAGAAAAACAGGAAGGATAGTTTATTTATTACATGAAAGGTACATATATTTAAGATTTTTCATATACTGTAACAGAACAAATATGAATAGAATTATAGAAAACATCAAGACTTTTGATTTGTGTATATAGTATATATATATATATATATGATTTAATTTGATCAAATCATTTATAGAAACATTCTTAAGTAATCATCCATGCGTCTGTACTTCACTTCCGGATAAAGACTAGAAGCTTCTTCGTCTTCTCCGACATCGTGATCAGTGAGACAACCTTCGTAGAATATGTGATAGAAATGTCCTATCCCCGCTTGGTGTGGAATCTCCATTTCTACATTAATAGAATGTTACAAGTAAACAAAGTCAATTTATATATGAGCTTTGTTTTTCAAAATGGACCTAAGCCTGGTCCATTAAGTCATATATATATATATATATATTGCGGCAAATGATGATGGTACGTTACACTTACGTTCAATGTTGGCAAGGAAGTCTTTTGCAGCAATATTGGTTTTCTCCAATTTGTTTCCGGTTAGCTTTTCCCATATCTGAACTAACTCGAGCTGCGTGAGAACATTGTTGGGAGGTCTGATGTTCACGGTTTTGTTTAACGTTCGTGGATCGTTTAGTGTCTTTGCGGTATATTTTGCGATATCATCTTCATCCGCGAACACCACTATGAAATAAAGACAGTCCAATATTTTAATGGTATGAGACGTAAAAAATATTGAAAGAGAGTAACTGAGAGAAACATTTTTGTTTACTTTATTTACCTTTAACATTTCCATCACCGTAAATATTGACTTGTTTCTTCGGAGGAAGTAAAGTTACCATCTGAGATAAGTTCCCGGCGAAGTAAGCGGCAAAGCAAGCACCGACGACATAAGTGTATGGGATTCCGGCAGCCTCTATCGCCTGACGCACTTCAATTTTTTGGTCGAAGGTTTCTCTTCCGGGCGGTAGCGCGTGTCCCATACGTGGTGGATCCATACCAAATTCAGATGGTAAAAACCTCTGATAATATTAAGTTTTACGTAAATATATAATATGAGAAATAAATAACCTTCAAAAAAACAAAAACAAAAACCTTCATTTTTATCACAAAAATAAATAACCAAATTTTTTTTTATTTTTTTTGGGTGTAAATGTGTAAGACTTTATAGATTGACCTCACAAGTGTCTAAATCTTAAACTTTACGTTTATACCTTAACGTTACCAGCTTCTTTGATGGCTTCGACGAGCTTAAGCTGGACAAGGATGTTATGGCTACGGAAGTGTACGCCGGACATGGCGGAGACAACGACGTCAACAAGTTTCACGGCAGAGACGAGGCTCTGGTGGTCGGCGAAAGAAGCTTCAACGATACGTGCACCAAGTTTCTTGAAAGAGAGGATGAGTTGGACTTTCTCGACGTCGAGACCAATCTCTGGCCGCTGCAAGACGTAAGTCTCGTGGCCTTCAGCTATACAAGCCCTTACTATCCTCTTCCCTATGTACCCCGTCGCTCCCACCACCAAGACACGCGTTTTCTCGTTGTATTTGCCTTCTGATCCCATTTTGTTAATATGTTTTTTTTTATCTATATGTTTTGTTGAAGTGCCTCGCTTGATTCTGTATTTATATATGAATCGAAAACATATATATTTGTGTGAGTGTGAGTGTGTACACCTAATCAATTTATTGTATGCATTATAAGTAAAGATATCAACAGTTGTTATGATGCCTATCAAAGAAAATTCTTTTCTTTTTTTAAACAAGAAAATTCATATTTTTTTAAACAAGAAAATTCATATTTTTTTATTAATACTTTTATCATCTGATTTTTTTTTCCAGATGAATAGTTAGGTAAACAAAAAAATTTACCCCTTTGCTTATTTTTAATGAATGAACTAGGTTCGTACCCGCACTACAGCGCGGGGAAATAATTATATATATATAATTTTTAATTGATTAAAATATGTTATATATTTGTATAATAAGTTTAAATAAAATAATAAACGAAAAAGCGAGTAAATAATAATATATTGAGTTTTGATACAAATTAAATAACAGTAAAAATTTAACAGCATGAAATAATCTTTATCGACAAATTATTCATTTGACCATTTATGTAGTATAAGTAGGAATATACATAAAAATTACATACTTACAATATATTTTATGAAGAATCAACTCGTAACATAATTCATTTGGTAAAAAACATTATTCATAACTCGCTTTACCATTATAATTGTGATTTTAACAAACTACCCGTGAACTATCTAAATTTACATAGTTTAATATATAACATATTTTATCAATAGTAATTATGTCACAAAAAAGTACTTTTAATATTCTAAATTCTAATTATTTTATATATTTCAACCTTTTAATTATAATATTTTAAAACTTTTTGAACTTTTAAATACGCTCATGTAACAATGGTTTTAATATTGATCATACTGATTTAAATCATTGTCCAAAATATTTAACCGAGTGTAGTTGAGTATTATATGTCCGTTTTGAAACATTCAAATTGCAACATATGCAAAAATAAAATAAAATTTTTATTAAATATTTTTATTATATAGTATAATATCATAAATTAAAAATAATATCAAATAAATGTTAAAGAAGAATGATAATTGTTTTTAATATATTATATTAAATTAGTTAGAAAGATATTAGGAAATCATAAAATTAGTTATGGAAATAATATAATCTTAAAATTAGATATGGAAACTATCTTATGTATGTATCCAAACCCATTTTAATATCCAATTTTGAAGTATCCATTTATTAAAATCGGGTTAATTTTTAATTTTGACCCGACCCGTATTATATTTTGTATTTCTCTTTTACTAATATAAAGATATTAGGTAATCCACAATTAGTTGTTAAATAATATCCCAGTTCCCAAAAACAGTACACGATTGGATTGTATAACGCAATATACTATATGCGTACAAACAAAAAAAATAGAGATGCATGTTTTTTATGAAAACATATTAGTCGTCTCTCTGTTCGTGAGTTGTTTACAAGTTACTGGAACCCTAATAAAGTCTCTCAATACTTTGACTAATGAGTAATGGACGTGTCCATTTCCAAAGACATTACTCTTGTCTCACGACACCTTTTTGACAGCGATTATTGTTCTAACTTGCGACAAGTTTTGGTGGGTTTATTGATTGGTTAACACTTTATTAGAGATTAATCGAGGTTTTAGCATACTTTGACAAAACAAATTAAACTATTTCTCACATAGCTGTCTTGACTTTAGGAAAAAAACAATTCACCAACTTTCTTCTGTTGGCATTGAAAACAAGTAATTTATTTCTAACAGCTGCTAAAATCCTATGCATGCATTCATTTACAAACTTTGTTACATCATTCGTTTAATAAAATCTATATATATTCAAATATTTCAAAGGTCACAAATAATCCCCGAACCGTCTATAATATTAATTTATACACACAAACTATAGCTTTTTGTTACAACACTCGTTTGTCGGCCATATATACATAGACATAAACGGTTCAATAATTTTAAGAATATATATATTTGTATTTAGTTTATTATTATAGTTCACCAATTATCAATAATAGCCGGAAAAAAATTTAAAGACGATGAGCAAATTTAACTCTACGTCATGCGGCATTTTTAGATTTTATTTTATTTTTATACCAACCTCACAACACAACTAAATTTAAAATAATATGATTGGGTTCTCAAATGGGATGTAGTACAAAAGAACACCAACAAACCTGATGCTAGATTTACATACCAAAATCATACTATATAGACAAACAAAAACAAAACCAAATATGATTTTGAAGGAGACAAAAATTTTGTCTTAAAGATATCAAAAAGTTGGTTACCCTATCAATTGAGAACTTTGCATAATATTGACCAAACTCTTGGTTCGTCACAACATCTTAGCAAAAATAACCTGCTCCTGAAAATGTTACATATCCTCCATTTACTATAAACTACAAGTTCCGGTTAAATCAACACAAAATGAAAATGTGAATGAGAGATACAAATGATTAAGTGTCTTTTTCCCGAAGCGGCGCTGTGGAGCTTATAGAAGTACAATTAAATAAGGTAATTTTTTTTTTTTATATACCCGATCGGCTGATCCGGTCAGCTTTAAAAAGATCGTATTGAAGTGTTACAACGTGGACTCGTCGCTAATGTTTAAGTGTTGGACTACCATATCGTCTAAATCTAGGTTAACGCTTTCTGATTAATGCCAAAAATAATCAAACCGTTTGTATTTATGATTATCAGGTAAACCAATTAGGTGTAACCCCAAATGACATATTTTCTACAAAAATGATATTAACAATCAAACTGGAGAATCAAACCCATGTTATTATGAGAGTTGCACCCTTCTACCCAAACTACCCTACCACTAGTCCACCACCTCTCGGGCAAATAAGATAATTATGGAAGAGAGCGCAAAAGCAATTATGAAAAATAGAGAAAAGAGAAGGTATGGATGGTGGAGACTATGGGGTTGGTGAGAGCACCGTCATTGGTTGTCTGAGGTGCCACGTGTAAACATGGTGTGTTGTTGTATGATCCTTAAAAAAACATATCTCACTCTTGTAATAATTAAAAAAGTCATTTGGAGTTTGTGTTCTGTCTTTATAGAATTGGTTAGAGTTTCAATGTTGATCATCGCCCAATAGTCAAGATACCGCTAGCTATAAGAGATTAGTTGGATGTTTTGATAGTTGATACACCCTAAAGTAATGGATGAGATTACAAGTGAAACCGATCTCTTTCCCACTCCGTTCGTTTTATTAGAAAAAAAAACTATCCTTTCTAGTTCAAAATTTTGGTATAAAATTTCTAATTTAAATTTAAGTTCACCTCGATTATTGACCGGTATTTGATGATATCTTTTTTTTTGTTTTCTTGGCAATTAGAAATCTTTAAATTTATAAACTAAAAATATTACAAACGCGAAACATATGATCAGAAAAAAAACTTCGGAGAACAAGCCAAATAACTAAAGCTTTTACACTTACATACAGTTGGGTAAAATAGCTTTGGATTGTTTATGAGTTTACATTGTTAAGTTCTCGAAAGCATGCACGTTTGAACATAACAATGTAAAACTAAAATGTCAAACGCCAAATCTTTTGACTTAGAAAAAAAAAGACTTTTGAGAGTATAGAGAGATCGGTAAATTTATTAGTATAATTCAACAAAAGTAGTTGGAACTTATAAGTTAATTAATTAATGGAAATTGAACTTTATGATCTGCAACTCTCGAATGTTCGTCATTTGTCACTACCAAGTACCAACAGCCAAATCATGATGATGCGCTGACTTAGGAAGAATATTGTATTGTATAGTGGTGTTTTCCACTATGCTAGTGTAACTCAAACCCATACTATAGTCTTCCTTTTTTTTTTTTTTTTTTTGTCAAACACTAAAGTCTAGTCACCAAAAAATAGGTAACTCAAATTTGAATCTTTAGTTATGTTGAATTCTATTTCGTTTACGAATTATGACCCTAGACTCTATTCTATTGTTCCTAGTTAGATTAAAATTATTGTGGATTCAGATTATGTGATGTAAGATTTGGGCAAATGAATTGTTGTTGTTGAGCCAAAAAAAAAATAAAAATATATATATATGTTGAATTCTAAATTATGTTGAACCTTTTTTTTATACTATTTCATTAGCCATTTCTCGATATTTGTAGGGTGCAGGACTTGATATTTGGTGTGATGATGCATGTTCTCTAGACTTATAGTAAACTACAGTCATTGCACCACTTTAATATTTCATTCAAAAAGAAATATTTTATAAACCATCTAATTAAACATTAACATATTTCTAATTAACAATTATCCCTTCTCTTATTTTTCTTTTTGGTGTACACTAGTATAGAAAAACTCCGTCTAAAAATTATTTTCTATTTCGAAATCAAATTTTTTGAAAACACAGAAAACACCAGATAAATAATTTTAGTTTACAAACACAGCTATATCTTTATTTTTTTTATTTAGGAAACTTAACATAATATACAAACAAACCTATAATATATTAGTTTTTATATCTCTAAAAAATATAATATTGAAAAAAAAACCTAATTAATTTTGAAGAATACAAATAATTCCTGTTTATTTCCCTTTATATCTTTAGTAACTTTTGTAGTTCTTTTCTCTTATCACTTTTTTTCTATAAAAAAAAAAATAGTTGTGATAACTACTAGTATCTGGAAAATTACTCTTTTAAAAATTCTACCTCATTAGCTGTGTAACAATAATAATTTCTAGATGACATTTCTGTAAATTAACCCCAAAATTGGAGAAAGGTAAAATTTTCCAATTGCAGTAATATACACATCTGACATAAAAGCAGAGCACTTCCGCCGCCGTTAGATTAGAAAATCAAAATCTGTAAGCTTTTGATCCGTTGGGTGTTGTATCTCCACGACAAAGCTGTCTTTCTATAAATAGTTTTTAAATTTTTATGTATTAAAAAAACATTTCTTTATTTCTTCTTCTCCGCTGTTAAAGCGGGAAATTTTCTGAGGTCGACGTGCCGGTTAATTCCGCCGGAAATTTCATTATCTCCGGCAATTGACTCGGCGGAGACGAAGCTTTCGAGTCGCTAACCCTTTCCCCTTTGTGAATTTGTTATCTTTGCACTACGGAGATACTGAAATCGAATCCAAAACCCTAGATGATGGAGGAGTCTCGAGGATCTTCAGATCAAGAGGATGAACAAATTGTTCAAGTCAGAGAAGCTTTAATGTGTCCCGACGGTGAGAAATTTGAAGCTTTGCGGACGGCGAGGTTCTTAAACTACACGACGACATCTATTAACGACGATGTCTTCGAACTCCCTCAAGATGCGTTCGTGTGTTGTAGACCTGAGGGGTTTGATCCGGAGGCGAAGATCTCGTTTTCGTGTTGGGGATCTCCGTCGGTGAACTGGATCGAGTGGGTGAATGTGATGGCTGAGTTACACGAGACTGTGTGGAAGAAATCTGGGGTTTATGAAGCGATTTTGGCGTCTAGGTATCAGATTAAGAGGCAGGATGATTTGATTATGGCGTTGGTTGAGAAATGGTGTGTTGAGACGAACACATTTGTGTTCTCTTGGGGCGAAGCGACCGTGACTTTGGAGGATATGATTGTTCTTGGTGGATTGTCTGTTACTGGGAACAGTGCTTTGGCTCCGATTAAACGAGAAGGTATGAAGGTAGTGGAGGAGAAGATGAAGGCGGCAAAGCGTGGGATCGAGGCGAATTTGGAGAAGAAATGTGGTGTTAGCTCGTGGATGAAAGACATGATGAACTCAGGGAGTGAGATTGAGCATGAGGCATTTATGGTTTCGTGGCTCTCGCGTTTCGTTTTCCCCAGTTCAGGTGATGTGCTGAGAGAGAAGCTGTTTCCGGCTGCGATTCAGCTTGCTCAGGGAGTTAAGTTGGCTCTGGCTCCGGCTGTTTTAGCTGGGATTTACCGCGATCTCGGTGCTTTGAAGAAGCATCTCGCTGGTTCTAATGAGAAAGGGACGGTGGTGGTGAAGTCTCCGTTTCAGTTTGTGCAGGTTTGGGCTTTAGAGAGAATCATGGCGTTGCAGCCACCAGGCCAGCCAAGTCAGTTAAGGCCTGGTGAACCACGGATAGCGCGGTGGCACCATCATGGTGGTGGTCAGGATGTGTACGGCTACCCTGAAGATATCAGAGCAGTTTTGGACTCAGCCAAAGAGAGTTTTGACTATCGTCCATACACAAAGCCTGTGAATAACTTCAAATTCCCAAAGTTTTACGTGGAAGATGACTGTTGGGTTCATGTAAGACCTGAAGAAACCATTGTAGCCTTTGGTCGGTGTTTGAGGTTCGCCAAACTGGTTGGTTTCGATTGCATTGAACCTTATTATCCTCACCGTGTAGCATTGCAGTTTGGTTATGATCAAGATGTTCCTGGCGTAGTTCCAGCTAGAACTGAGACGCCGGAATTGGCCTGGAAAGAATATATCCGTCCGATTGCTGATGGAATGTTGTACTTTCCTGCCCGGCTCCATGAGGCTGATGTAACGGTTGGGTACATTAGGTGGTGGAAGCTTTCTGTAGCCGCGTTGCAGGCTGAAGCTGAGAAAATTTCCCACATGCTTCGGAAGTCACATTCAAACCAGAAACATGTGATGACGACGACTGCTGTGACGACCCCAACAAAGGCAACATCTCATCCCCCAGGGGTGTGGAAAGCATCCCCTGCAAAAACTGAGGGAAAAGATCAAGAAGTGGTAAAGAAGAGGGAAACAGAGACAAAAAGAGAGACTTCTGTTACTGGATCAAGGATCGAAATGAGTAGAGCAGATGGTCGGAGCCATGGCAGTAGTAGCTATACAGGAAGTCTCACGGGCTCAGAGCAAGCAACTAAGCATCCTTTAAAGACGCCTGAATGGGTTCAGAGATCATCACCTAGACCGAAAAAGAGCCCTGATAGAAGTTCTGATAAGCCTGAATGGGTTCAGACATCATCAGCTCGATCGACAAAGAGCCCTGATAGAAGCTCTGATAAGCCTAAATCGTTTCAGAGATCATCACCTAGATCGACAAAGAGCCCTGATAAAAGCTCGGGAAGAGTAGCGGATGATGTTAAGGATCTTAAGGGAGCTCTCAGGGGCTCGGGGGGAACAAAGAGTCAGGGTCATGTCACATTTCAGCTTCCTAGCTCTCCTGGGAGATCTCCATCCAAGGCAAATACGTTATCACCAAAGCAAAGCGGTAAAATTATATGCTCTCATGTTCAGGTCTCACTGTTGATTCCTTGTTTCTGGATTGACATCTTGCTTTTCTAAAACAGATTCTCCTGTCAAAAAACCGAGAATGTTACCTCGCGTAGCAGACTTAGCCAAACGATCGAGCTCTTCTCCTGGCGTTCCAAGACATACATCGTCTGTTCCTCTTCCTTCCAAGCGAGAGAACTACATAAAGCACCACAGTCCCACAAGCTCACGAGTTTCAAAAGATACGAACATGTCACCTTTTTTTCATGGTTCTCATTTAAAGAGGAAGAACTCACCAAGATCTCCGGAAGATATTAACTCGCGTGGTCAAAAAACCCCCCCAAGCCCCCGAGTTTCAAAAGATTCGTACATGTCATCTTCTTTATCTGGTTCTTCTTCTCTAACGAGGAAGAGGCAACCAAGATCTCCTGAAGCTGGCAATTCGCGTGGTAACAACAATCCCCCATGTCTCCGAGATTCAAAAGAAATGAACAAGTCCCAATCTGTTTCTGGTTCTCCTTCTTCAGTTTGGAAGAAGTCACCAAGATCCTCTCAAAATGTCAATTCGTGTGGTAACTCATCATCCGGAGGCAATTCTGCTGTGAAGAGAAATACTGACACAAGCATCATAGTTTCCAATCAAGAATCACCGAGAAAACCTCAAGTCGATATCAGCAAGGCTAACAAGTTACTGGAAGAGATAGTAACTTTGCGAGACCAAGTTGGCGAAGATGGTGAAGTGACATATCAGATACCAAGGCAGCAGTTCGAGGATCTAAGCAAAGGAGTCCATGATGTTCTACATGATTTACAGTCGATTAAATCTGCATTGAATATACAAGATAATGATGAAGTATAGATCCTCATTCTCTCAGAATCTATCTAAAAGACCTTAAAGGTTTCATCTTTTTTGTTCCAACTCAGTCAATACAAATACTTTGTAGTGAGATCCAAAAGCTACCCAAAAGGGTAGACACAATATAATCTAAACACTGCAAAACAACTGACATTTTCGAGTTTTCTCTTTCGTTCCTAAATTTAAGCCTTTAAATAAACATCAAACATTCTTTCGAAACTATAATCCTGTCAACTACAATATGGAGCTAAATGTATGCATAACAATTTGTACCAGTGCATTTACAAAAGAACAAACATGGCACAAAGACTTACAGTGATGATCAGTAACAGTGTTCGCTCCACTTGTTCATAGCAAAGTATCTTCATCTACGAGATTGTAAACTGTGTAACAAGGCATTGTGGCTTGTCAAGTTAGCAACATGTGATGTGTTGCTCTTGGAGCTTCTTCAGGTCTTGTTGTTAGGCTTTTCTTCAAGAACAAGAGGAGCTTTTGGATTGACTCGATTTTACAGATACATCTGCAGATTTTGAGAATCAAAATTGGACAATCGAGTCAATTCAGAATCTCCTATTGTTCTTACGAATTTGGTGGCCACACTCCTCAAGCAATTTACCTTAAGAAAATCCCCAAATGGCCAAATCAAGATCAAGAAACCAAAATGGTTACAAATCAAACAATGAACAGATCAACTCAACGATCCAAAGCTTTGACTATCAGATCCAGCCCCACAGATTAGCCGGAGAATTCATCGGAAAACTATTTTTTTTTTTTTTCTGTCTCAGAAAGATAAAACGCTCTTCGTCAAAATGTGTTTGAAATAATAAGTAGGTAAGGTGTAGAGAGATGGGTAAAGACTAAAGAGATTTATTTGGTAAAGTGAAATACCAAATTTAGTCACATAATGAGCTAATGACCAAATTTTAAAAAGTCATAATCTATGATGAGGAGATCAGATTCTCCCATCAAACCCATGTGACATGTGAGAGAGAGAGATGAGTTTATTAATCTTTCTCCTATCATTGACCTATTATTACTCTCCTCTCAGACGCAAAAAGGTTTCATTTTTAACCCCTTTGAGAATTTTGTTTTTGTCCAGGTTGATCCAAATTACTTCTTTCTAAAGAAAGTTTTGATTTTTATCTTCTTCTGATCTAAAGTTTTGATATTTTCTTCTCTTGGTTTTGTTCTGTTCTTCAGTTTCTTCACGTTTCCCCCGTTTAAAAGACCAATCTTGTACTCTTTCATGGAAATTAAATTTTGAGTGAAGTTTCTAGCTTTTCTCAATAGCTTCTAAGTTTAACCAAATCTGTTTGTTCTCTCTCTCTCTCGTTTTCATCGACGACTCTGACTTTGTTAAGAAGTGGGGTTTATCTTTGATCTAATTCCATAAAAGAAGACAAAGAAGGAATCTGATCTGCAAATTTTTTACAGGGTACTCTCTCTTTGGAATATGGATTTAGAATCTGTAGCTTTCTCTTGATAAACGAGGAAGTGTTCTAATTGATATTTCTTGATCAGGAATTGAAAGAGAGATGGGATCTTTCAAGGGTCATGCTTTGCCTGGGACATTGTTCTTAGTGGTTGGAGTATGGCACATTTGGAGCTCAGTGGTTGGATTCATATCGAACCCTAGTTCATTTCGGGTTCGAGTTTGGCACCCTGTTCCTGGTTTTAATGATAGGATCAAGTACTTGGAGCTTTACGTTGTTACAATTGGCTCATTCATTGACTTGTGCATTGAGTTTTTGTACTCAACTCATCTCAAGTTCTTTGTTAATGGTGTTCTGAATCCTTCCCACATGAATGATTTCGAGCACTCTGGAATGCTTCTCATGTTCTTCATCCTTGGATTTATCGCTTTGCTCTCCGAGAAAACAAGGTATTAAATGATACAGTTTGTGACAATGCTAGTTAATTAGTTATAGGTCAGATCTTTCCTGATTTGAGAAGTCAAAAGTTGAGTTTTCAGTGATTCTTGACTTAAATGTCGATGAAAAGATCCTAGAAATGGATCAAGACCGTTCGATTAAATGATCCGATTATTGATAAGATTCATCGAGATTCGAGATTGGTATATTTCTTTGAAGTTAGGTTGGATCTTTGTTGATTTTGAGGATTTAAAAGTGGTTTATTAGTGATTCTTGACTAAGTTTTGATGAAAACAATCCTAAAGATTGATCTTGATCCTTGATAAAATGATTCAGATATCATCAAGATTGGTATATTAGCTTTAAACTTGGGTTAGACCTTTGGTGATTTTTAGAGCTAAAAAGTTGTTTGTTAGTGATTGTTGACTTCGATAATCGATTTTCAATGAAACACCTTTAAATGGATCTAACTCATTAATAGTATGATTTGACTATCAACATAGTCATCAAGATTGGTATTTAGCTCTGGAATTTAGTTTGGATCTTTAGTGATATGAACTTGAAAGTGGTTTCTTAGTGACTTTTGGCTTGGTTTTTGATCTACACAACCGTAGAAATGGATATAGGTATGAACTTATATGAATCAATATATTCATTGTGATGCTTTTTATCTGTCATAGGTTACTTCCTCTGCCACAAGAAGCTCTGTGTCTAGTTGCTGCAACAGCTTTTACGGCAGAAGGTCTTCTCTTCTTCTTCCACTCCACAAGCCACAAAGGTCTTGAAGGTTATTATCATCTCCTCCTCGTCTTTCTCATCGCTCTCTGCGTCATCTCCTCAATCGCAGGAGCAATCTGCCCTACAAGCTTCCCAGTAGATCTATGCAATGGCATTGCAATGTCTCTTCAAGGCCTCTGGTTTTATCAGACAGCTTTCACTCTCTATGGTCCTATGATGCCTCAAGGTTGCAGTTTAAAACAAAACTCTGTAGTTTGTAGATCAGTCGACTCTGCAGTCTCTGGAGAGTTTCTAGCTAATTTTCAGCTCTTCTCTTTGGTTCTTGCTGTTCTTGCCTGCGTAGTGGGTTCATATGTATTTGCAGCTTCAAGATTTGGAGTGAGTAGATGAAAGATTTAGCAAGTAGTAATTAGGGATTTTGTTCTTCTTTTCATTCAATTGTTTCAGAGTTTCAGAAAAATATAAAGAATATAATCTTTTTTACATGGTCTTTGTTGTGTATGTAAGTAACAAACCAAAATTGCTTCTTTATGTTCTTCAAGCTCGAAAAGTAAAAAGGGAGAGGCTCATTGATTTAGGAAAAATATAATCTCGTAATTTTATTATTATTGTGAAACGGACTGAAAACTGATTATCAAAATATGAAAATATTTTACGCTCTCAAGAAAGAAGCGACGAAAAAAGTGTTTTCACTTCCCATTACATTAGAGACTCCAAGCAAACCATATATAGATGAGTACAAATAAGTGTAACCCCAATGCCTTCAAGTCTTTGACTTCACCTCGAAGACCTTTAAAGTTTAAACACTGATCCACGCAAGGTTGGAAGATTAACACGATAGAATAGCCAGTTCCATTGTGGCACGATGGTCTGGCCTGGTTGCAATCTCTCTACAGGTACTTGATCATACCCCGACCTTCCACACTCACCTTCGTGGCTTGCAACCGCTTCTTCTTTGTTCCTTTTAGCTGCTGAAGTTTCTTGTTCATCTGCAATTATAACAAAAGAGGCAGCTCAAGGACTACAAGAGAAAAGAAAGAGCAAGAAAGGGTTTTTGTTTATATACTATGACAACAAGGATTTAAGTTGCATACAGAGCCCAAGTCTAAATATTATCCAGACCAAATAGGTAATTAAAGTATATGGTGTTTTGACTGCTATTGATAAAGGATAAACGGTAAAAGTCTTTTACCTTGACCCGACGCTGGTCCTGAGAGACCTGTTTCGCACGGGCTATGACCTCATCCGGGTCAATCTTGGATTGAGGACGGATCAAAAAGTCCAATGGGGTTGCTTCGGGCCTCATCGTCATTTGCCTGTCTCCCCTTGAACTCTGACCCGAAGTCAGACCAGATTTACGTTCCCTGCATATAATTCAACAAACAATGAGTAGTGTATCTTTGAGAAGTTCATCTATTTACAAATTCTGAGATTTTTTCCATACCGAATTTCCAAGTCAAAGTCACCATCTCGCGACTCCATTGTAGCTTTGTTGCTAGGTCTATGTGACCCCAATAGAACAGGAAGAGAATCTATGGATCAGTATATGAAATGTCAGCTAGTGAAATCGAAATTAAAAGGTTTTGGGATATACTTCTTCACTGGTGGCCTTCTATAGGGAACCCTATCTTCATCAAGATTTCTCATGTCCTCAAACCTAGTACTCTTGTTGAAAATTGGACGAGACTGCAACATCAAGCATACCGTTAGCAAATGGTTGGAATTTGATTCCAGCGATTGGAGTCATTGAAAAAGATGTTTACCCATTTATCGACCAAATCCTTAGCAAGTCGTCTGTTGGAATTAGTTTCCTCATCTGATTTTGATAAAAACATAATGACCTGCCAAAGCCAGAACAAATTTAAATTCCCGAGTATAATAAATCCTACATACCGATTCGTCAATTTGTATCAGGTAATGTATCCTAACCTTTCCAAGCCCACTCTTTTTCAATTGCTCCCTTCTATCATACTGGTCCAAGTCAATCGGAAACTGCAAGACAAAGTCATGAATACATAAAGGAGCTAGAAAGGGTCAAAATCAAGCAAAAACTCTTTACAGGAAATCAGGAGCCTTACATCAGTAAGAACTCTTAGAATAGCTGCACGGATGTTTATATTTGGCAAGCTTCCATCTGGAAGAGGCTCAAGCCAATTCTTCAACAGAGTTAAAACCCCATGGTCCAGGAATTCTGTTTGAAGCTGCTTCCTGTATAAAGACAATTACGCGTTATTACAAAACAGATTGTTAGGAAGACTGTTTATTGGATAACAATAAATTTGCAACTTACTTTCCAAGAACATCGGTAAGAAGGGAAAGTTTCTTAAGCTTGTTGATAGCAGGCTTCCCTTGTCTATTAAGTTCTGCATCTTCCTCCGCAGTAACCTCAAGTTCAGCCATCACATTCTCAACCAAGAGTGCGATTTCCGCAGGATTTCTTTCAGTCTTTTTCTTTTTCTTCCCCATTTTGAAAAGGTTCTTTACCTCATCATCCTCCTCACCCTCCTCTGCCTGTATCCATAACAAAAATATTATGAATCATCAAAAGCTAGATTCACCGATTAAAAATTCACGACCCTATTCATACCTGAGGATAATGGGTTGGAGAACGGTCTCCAGCGTCACCTCCATACCTCTCAGAAGGATCCAAACCAGTATCGTCAATGAAATTATCGTCATCCATAGTCCTAACACCTTCTTCATCATTCTATAACATAAACGAAACACTTTAATAAGATGAAAAAGATACAAACTCCCGTCTCATTCACCAATGGTTAATACAATCTCAGAAGTATAGCCAATGGGTGCACCTCTGGGTTATGGGCAATGGATTTCCACATCTCATCAATCTCGTCTGACTTCCTCTCGCCACGGTTCGGGAACTTATGCCTTTTATCCTTTCCACTACCACTACTACTTCGATCTTTCTCCTTCTTCCTCTTCCTACCAACCTTATCATCATAATCCGTACTACCTCCTGCTCTTCCTCCCATGAATTCATCGAACTCGGCATCATCCACATCCTCATCAATCAATTCAGGAACATCAATAGTCTCACGTTCACTAGACGCTTTCTTCACCAACCTCTTCCTCGGTTTGGCTACTTTATCGTTATCATAACCAGTCGTCTGTGTCCCTTCAACATCCCAATCTTCCATATCATCAGCCAAGTCTTCATCCAAATCCTGAAGTGGCTCTGTAGATGGCTCACGACCAAAGTCATCAAAGTCCACTATTGGCTCTCCATCTACATCACGGTACCTGGAAAATGAATACAAAACCAATCAATTAAACGACCATCATAAGCTATGAATCGAATACGAGAAAACCAAAAAAAAAGCTATGAATCTGAAACACAGAAGGGTTATAAAAAATGAAGCTTTTCGTATGCCCATGAAGCAAAATACTATTTTTCCATCAAATTGAAATCGAAATATGAAAAAGATCGAAGAGATTGATTTCGGTAACCCTAGATTCAATCAAAGGGGGATAAAGCTGGGATTTTTATCTGCAAAACAAAGCTAAATATTTGAATCGAAGAGAAAGAAGAAGAGCTTACGGATCATCCTCGAAACCCATATCTTCTCAGCTTCCAGAGAAATGATTCAACAAAGATAAGTTTACGAATACTTTGATCTTCGAGTTGTCGTGAGAGGCGAGAGGAGGAAGAAAAGAAGAATCAGGATCGTTTCTATTGAGATTATTCGACGCTCACGATTGGAAAATGGAATTAACAGCTTAGATCTCGCCACGTCATCAATTCTCAAGTATGCATTAATTAGTAATTTAAGTGTTGACTTCGTGTTACAAAGTCAAGTCTCTCTCAACTCTCAAGTCGATAGAGACAAAACCTCACACTTGTGATTTGTGACGTAACCTTTACTTGTGGACGACTGTTAATGGTGGCATCTTCATAAACAAATCTTGGGAAGGTTATAATCTATATATATATCAGAAATGGTTAGGTGTTAGCTCATAATGATTCTATCGATTAATCCGAAAAAATATCAAACTTTGTGAAGCCTAAACTAAGTATAATCCAATAGGTTTATTGCTAGTGCATGTTCAAATCTAAAACCTTGGTCCTTCATGTGTCTTTTTCCCGACTATGAGACACACTAAACAAATCTTGTTGATATTATATGAATCGTGATTCTAATAGCTTAACATCGGATGATATAAGGATGCTGGTGATCTGTAAATCTGGAAAGAAGATAAATGAACATGTTGAATCCACGCATATTATGTCTCTCCATTGACTCATTCATCTACGTACGTTCTATAAGTGTTCAAAGCTCCTATTTGTGTGAAACAGCCATGGTTGTTGTTGTTATCTCTATACCATCTCTAAGTATTTGAGCCGATGACGATGAATTAATATAGCATTATTATGGAAAAGTAAAATCGAAGTTTAAATAACCAGAAACAGAATAATTAACTATATATCAACTAGCTAATCTTGAATTCAGAGGACATCGTAAAAGAGAAAAGATAAGTCCTGCAAAAAGTTTTGATCAGCTGGCTTTTCATAAACTCAAACTCACTAATATGAATCGTGATTTCATCAACTTAACCACTTTAGTTGTTGCATTAGAGGATCTATCTAAGAATGCTACCCATCAGCTCATTCGTCTTAATTAAATTATTTTTCAAAGTCCTCGATTTTTTAACACCAAAATTCTAATTACACCAGTTGTTTCAAAATCTGTTAATAATTATGCTATGATCTGAAGATAAAGAGCAAAGACCTCTATACTAATAAGTTTCTGATTAAGCTAAAACTTTGTTTCTTTAATCATTACAAAAAATAATAATCGACTAAGCTTGTTCAAAGGAAATTGAAAAAAGCAAAAAAAAAAAAAAAGAAGTAATGATCAGTTTTTAGTTTGTCTTCTACTATTCTTGAACTGCTAGTGTTACACCTTGTTGGTTTCTTTCCTCTTCCTCTTCCTCTTCTTATCTTTCCTTTCATGTTCTGAAATCTGTTTAATTTGCACTAAACTTGGAACATAAGAGCAAGAAGAGCACACTAATGCCTGAAAATAATGGATGTAGCCTCGAACCTTCACAGGTTCATGGGGGACATTTTCAAGATCCACTTCTTTCAAGCATCCATTATATCCAATGATGTAAGCGGTCTTGCAGCGTTCAGATTGATCTAAATCAAAAACCACAGCGACTTTCTTCTCTTCATCGATGAAGAAACTGCTAGCATAATCGTCAAACTCAAGACTAGGGAGTGGTTCCATATTAACAGCTAAGAATTTGCTCCAAGACACCGCATTGGGCTCAATCGTAGTTGTCACCCAAATCTCTATCTTAGATGAGTAGTAGTATCGCTGATACAATACCGCGAGTTTCTCTTCTTTAACACAAGATAGTCTCCCGGTCTGTTCAAAATCATGCGAAAACGGCAAAGAAAGAAGCTCTCCAAATTTCTTTGTTGTAAAATCAAAACATAGTAAGCAATCATACCCTTCCATTACATTTCTTGCATCAGTCAAAAAATAAGCATTCCCATTTATCGACACGCTCGGCTGATAACATTTAAGTCCCTTGTTGGGAGCGACAAAAGAAAAACTCCATGAATTAGACTTGAAATCGTAAATTTCGTAGTAGCCTTTTTGAGGAAAAAACTTCAAGATCTTGTGGTTCTTATTCTTATCGTATCCGAGAGCATACGTAGAGCCTACGTGGTAATCGTTACTAGTTCGGATCCACCTAGTTTGTCCCAAGTACGGGTTCCAAACTACAAGGCTCCTTGAGTGGTTCCTTGTGACACATAACAATAAACCATCGCAAGAAAAGACTTTACATATTTCGACTCGGTCAAGTAAATCACCTAATGGTTTTATTAGTGGATCAACAAACTCTTCACTGTCGTCTTGGTTGAGGCCGATTCCATGGAGATTGAAATTACATGAAAAAAGCCTATCATCCATCATCAAGAACCCTAGAAACTGGTGTCTTGCTTTTTCTCTACATAGAATCCGGTTTTTGGATAAAACGTTCCATACTTTGCAAGTGGATCTCACTGCTAGTAGAGATGTTATTGAAACCCTAGACAGTATCTCTTCGATCAAATCTTGTGAGAGATCAGACATCATCGTCATTGTTGAAAATTTTTAGGTTTAACTTTCACGCCTGCCACTTCTTTTTTACGTTTATATGTGCATCAGAAGATACGCCGCCTTCCCTATGATTATAAATATATATCTATTTTTGAAATATTTTTCTTACTTTCAATAGATAAATATTTGGTTTATTTTTCACAAAGAAAGAGTGGTTTAATTTACAATCATTTTGATACTTAGGAAGAAACAAAACTGAGGAGATCGGAAGAAGAAGAAGAAGAAGACAGAAAACGTTTAAGTTTATGAGTCTTAAAGTGTGATATATAGAGACAATCATGGACACGGTGCATGGCCTTAATTGTATTGAAACAATATAATACATGACGTACCATCTCGATGATTGGTTGTTCGATCTCTAACCAATTACTTAATCTTTCAGTCTCCTCGAATGTTTCGAGCAATCTCGAGCAGAGTAGTCGACAACATTGCTGGAGGACATGACTTCGTAAATTTTAAATCTTGGTCTAGGAACTGAAGCTTCTTGCCAATTAGCATTTGTTGGAACATTGTTGAGAGTCACCATAAGAGCGGTCGAGATTTTATTTCCATCACGTGTCTCTTCTCTGGATGGTTAGAGACAATGCTATATAGGTAATGACCACATTTTTAACAAATCTTTCTAATATGTGTAGTGGTTGCTTTGCATTAGCGTTAACCTCTTAAATTTGGTGCATTGGAAGGATATATACGAGGATGCTGGTAAATAACATTTTGAATCCCACAGATGCTTCTACATTCTTTTAGTTTTAGTGTTCACTAAGTCGTCGTTTTCGTTATGATCCTATTTAAAGTTTTAACTTTTACAAATCATATGAAGTGTGGGTACAAAAATGTTGTTCATAGATTTTACAGGGTTAATTTTATAAATAAGATAAAGATTTGGGTTTCATTTTAAATATTATATTCCCTGTCAAGCCTACGCAGCTTCCTCCTCTTCCCCGTCAAAAACACGACACGAACCAATCACCAGGAAAAAAAAAAACTTATACCTCTAAAATTCTCTCATTTGATTCTCTCAATCTAACTCCAATTTCTGCAAAATCAAAGCTTTTTAATTCATTTCACATCTCTGGGTTTTGCTCAGATTGCCCAAACATTGCAGATCTTCAGGTAATTGTTCCACCGGTCCCTAGTTTCAAATACGTTTGAATAGATTCTGAATTCAAAACTCTAGATTTTGAGGGTGTAGTGCTTTTAGATTTTATTAGATTTTGTGTTATCCTGTCTTATGTTGTCTCCTCCAGCATTGTTAGCTTAAAGTTGGGATTTTTATTTTGTATCCTGAGATAAAAATGTGACCTTTTTTTTTCTTCTGGGGTTATCAGTTGATGTGCTTAGGAACTCTATCCAAGTGTGTGACATCTGATTGCTGGATTTGGTAGGTTTGAGAACTCATTCTGGTCTTGTGTGAAGCGTTTACTGGTTGGTTAGAAAGTTGGTGAATGTGATTAATGGGTAGCAGCGAGATGGAAAAATCGGGTAAAGAGAAAGAAACTAAGACTCCACCGCCTTCTTCTTCTTCTTCTTCAGCTCCTGCTACTGCTGTTTCACAGGTTTGCATTGGTGTGGAAATTTGCTATAGCAAAGTGTTGTTGTTAGTGTCAGGCTTTGATTGGTTAATGTTTTTTTTTTGTTTGTAGGAACCTTCTACTGCTGTGAGTGCTGCAATGGCTACTCAAGATTGGTCTGGTTTTCAGGTCTAATACGAGTTTCCTCTGTCTTTCTTGTTTCTTTGTTGCATTTAGGTGTTATGTGGCTCATGTTTATATTTTGGACAGGCTTATTCCGCAATGCCACCTCATGGTTACGTAGCATCAAGTCCTCAACCTCACCCTTATATGTGGGGGGTTCAGGTAAATCGAATTGTTTTTCCACCTAATCCGATTGATTTTAGATGGATTTAAGCATTCTTTGGAGCTTCAGGAGATTACTTGACGAGTCACAGAATTTTTGCTATTGATATTTGCATACCTGGGATGTATTACCTTGATCACTTCTGTAGATGTAATCGAGATTAGTTTTTTCTGACATATGTAATTTCATTACGTTCTCCATAGGAATTGAGCTGATTAATGTATGTAGCATAAGCTTAAGAGATTGTTATTTTCTTTTTGTAGCATATGATGCCTCCTTATGGAACACCGCCTCATCCGTATGTTGCAATGTATCCTCCAGGTGGCATCTATACACATCCTTCATTACCTCCGGTATTGTCACAGTTTGGATTTTTGGTTGTGTACTCAAATTAGTGATTGTGTTTGTAGCTTCTGTTAACATGTTCCGTGGTGCAACAGGGGTCTTATCCATATAGTCCCTATGCAATGCCTTCTCCTAATGGAATGGCTGAAGCTTCTGTGAGTTTTCCCTTTTATCATTTTTTCATTAGAGTCTGGGTCAGATGGGATCTTGTTTGAATAATGTTTTCAATTCAGGGTAATACTGGAAGTGGTATTGAGGGTGATTCTAAAACACCTGATGCAAAGGAAAAATTGCCAATAAAAAGATCGAAAGGAAGCTTGGGAAGTTTGAATATGATTATAGGAAAGAACACTGAAACTGGAAAAAACTCAGGAGCATCAGCTAATGGAGCTTGTTCTAAAAGGCATGTGACTTCATATTGTATGAAATTCGAAATCATGTTGGCATACTGATTATGATTGCTAGTTGCTAGCAATGATCATGTTATTGAATAGAATTGTGAAAATCGTCTGATTTGTTCTCGGTTAAACAGTGCTGAAAGCGCTTCTGATGGATCAAGTGACGGAAGTGATGCAAATTCACAAAACGTAAGTTTCTATCAATGCACTAAAACATTACTTTGGATTTTCATATGGAAATTAAGGAGCGTTTATGAATATGATCATGGTATTGATTTTGTAGGACTCTGGCTCTAGACACAACGGGAAGGATGGTTAGCTAATACAACTTTTTAATTATCATCTCTGAACATGTAATGTCCTAAATGTTAGAATCTGCTTATTTAGAGATTGCTCTTTCTTATTTCGTAATTTAAGGTGAAACAGCTTCAGAGAGTGGTGGTTCTGCTCATGGACCACCTCGTAATGGGAGTAATTTACCAGTGAGCCAGACCGTCGCAATCATGCCAGTGACGGCTTCCGGTGTTCCAGGCCCACCAACAAATTTAAATATTGGAATGGATTATTGGAGTGGTCATGGGAATGTTTCTGCAGCAGTTCCTGGAGTTGTAGTAGATGGATCCCAATCACAGCCATGGTTACAGGTTTCTGTAAGTGTGTCCTCTTCTCACTGCTCATTTACTGTAATTCAAGCACCTTGTTTGATTGTATAGTGAAAATCAGGATGAGAGAGAGCTTAAGCGACAAAGACGGAAACAATCCAATAGGGAGTCTGCTCGTAGATCCAGGTTGCGTAAACAGGTATATCATAAACATATTACTTCAAGCCACTCTAGCATCAGGCCTATCGAGTATGAATGATCAAAAGCTTTTTCTTTTCTGTGTATTCAGGCGGAATGTGATGAGCTAGCACAACGAGCAGAGGTCTTGAATGGAGAAAACTCAAGTCTTAGAGCAGAAATTAACAAGCTTAAAAGCCAATATGAAGAGCTTCTTGCTGAAAATAGCTCTCTCAAGGTAAATATTATTGTAAAATCCATCTTCTGCTAGATCCATAATTTGCTTAAACAAAAGTTAATCTTTTCTCCCAAACCCGTTGTTGTAGAATAAGTTTTCATCAGTCCCGTCACTGGAAGGAGTAGAACCAGACAAGAACGAGCAAGAACCACAGAGAAGTACACGTCAGGATGTTGCGTAGACCACTCACTCTGTGGTTCCCACGACAACTCAGCCTGACTAAAGAACAGCAACTAACAGGTCTATGTAATTTTTTAGGAATCAGAGTTGTTTGGTGTTGCCTTCTTTAGCAAACGTTTTAAGCTTGATGGTTCGTTTAAGTAGGAGGAAGCAGGAGATAACTAACTTATAGACGTCTCTTCCTTAACAAGTTGTGTATATTTTTTTCCTTTCAGATTTTGGACTTTCTTTTTTGGTCTTAACATTGAGTATGGCGATTGCGTTTGGGTCGAGTAGAGAGAAACGCAAACGCTAAATGTTCATCTTTATATACGAGTTGTTTGTAAAAATGTTAAATTGGTTATTTCTGTTAATGTGGAGTGTTTTTTCTTAATGTATATCCAATTTCTGTAATAAAAAAAAAAAAAAAAATAAACAAGAAAAGTTAGAAAATTTTCAGATTATTATTTTTACTAATGAAATAATAACAACAATTTTTATTTCATTTTTTAATAATAATTATTATACACGTATTTTGTTTTTGGGAGGTGACGACTCTGTAAACATACCTGAGCCACAATTTCATAGTCTTCTTCTTCTTCTTCTTCTCATCTTTTTGGATACTTTTCGAAATATCAAAAGACGAAAGAAGAAAATGCAAGCCATCGGCAGCAGCCATGGCAGGAGCCTCTGCTGCTTCAACAACTCTCTCTCCGAATCAATCTCCAAGTTCCTCTCTCCTTCTTCTTCTCCCTCGCTTCTCTTTCAGGTAATTTCTACTTTAGTGTTTGTTAGGTTTGGATTTGAGCCATATAGAGTCGATTTGTAGACGAAGAAGTCTTAAAGTTTCGAACTTTATGTATCAAGGAAGCTGTGAATGATGAACCCAATTCTCTGAATCTCATTTATGTAAAATCTTGATTTGCTTTCGTTGTTCAATTACAGAGATGTCATTCGTTCTGTATGCCTAAGCTTGGAAGTAGTTATGAGAATGGCCGAGGAAGATGTGTGACAGTGAGAGCTTTAGGAGATGAAGATTCTAATAATGAGAACTTTGCTCCTCTTGCTCCTGTTGAGCTTGAGTCTCCTGTTGGACAGCTTTTGGAGCAGATTCTTAGAACTCATCCTCATTTATTGCCTGTTACAGTCGATGAGCAGCTCGAGAAATTCGCTGCGGAAAGCGAGGCTCTTAAAGCTGAGACGTCTTCTTCACAAGATGTTCTCTCTAAGTAAGTCTTTTCTTTTTTGCTTTCAACATACATATTACTGGTTTTGGTGTGAGAACATACAAGATATGACTTACTGGAGAATGTGTGTATAAGTCTATTGCAATGCTTAAGTATATTTTTAGGCTTAGATCCTTTATTGGTTGAGTCTATGTGTAGGATTCGTTCTCTGTTGTCCGCTAGTATGAATGGTTTCAGTTCATTTCTTTTTCTTATATGCCACTGAGAAAACATTCTCTCTAAATCTTGACTCTTGAGTGAGAATTTTCATCAGATTCTGTCAATAGATCGCACTAATGATACGTTAAACTTACTGAAATTTGGCAATATGAAGCAGAGAGAACCTAGGCTTGGATTTTGTATTGGTCGAGTCTGTTCGATTACATTCACTAGTATGTGAGCAATTTCAGATTGTCTCTTTCTCTTACAAGATGTCGTTGCGTGCTTGATTTGCAGGAGAATATCTGAAGTTAGGGACAAGGAAAGACGGAAAACTTTAGCGGAGATCATTTACTGTTTAGTGGTCCATAGGTTTGTGGAAAAAGGGATCTCTATGATTCCTCAGATTAAACCAACTTCAGACCCAGCGGGACGAATAGACCTATGGCCAAACCAAGAAGAGAAGCTCGAAGTCATTCACTCCGCGGATGCATTCGAGATGATACAGAGTCATTTGTCTTCAGTTCTTGGAGACCGAACAGCAGTCGGTCCTTTAAGCTCTATTGTTCAGATAAGCAAAATCAAACTCGGAAAACTCTACGCTGCTTCCGCGATGTATGGCTATTTCCTCAGAAGAGTAGACCAAAGATACCAACTTGAGAGAACCATGAACACTCTTCCAAAACGGCCTGAGAAAACCCGGGAACGTTACGAAGAGCCCTCGCCTCCTTACCCGTTATGGGACCCGGATTCCTTGATCAGAATCCAACCAGAAGAATACGATTCTGATGAATACGCGATACAGAGAAATGAAGATGAGTCATCTTATGGGTTAAGATCATACGTTACGTATTTGGACTCAGATACACTTCAGAGATATGCTACAATACGTTCTAAAGAAGCAATGACTCTCATAGAAAAGCAGACACAAGCGCTCTTTGGACGGCCGGACATAAGGATACTCGAGGACGGTAAGCTGGATACTTCTAACGACGAGGTTCTATCTCTAAGTGTCTCTGGACTTGCAATGTTGGTATTGGAAGCCGTTGCTTTTGGATCTTTCTTGTGGGATTCAGAGACCTACGTTGAATCCAAATACCATTTCCTCAAGGCTTGAGTTTAGTCTCTTCCCCTCCTTGACATTGTACTTTTTGAGAGTAGTGGATGTAAATGTTATCTCTCATTGGAAAATTTGTAACGACTCAATCTCTGTAAAATGTAATAAACTACGATTCAAAACTTTAGATTCAAACTCAAGCATATTAGCTCAAAATCTTGAATCTTCTCTATTGATACAAAAACTAAGTTATATTATAGTTACTTACATTTTATCCTAAGCTTAAATTTTGGTTTATACACTTTCCAAATCCTAATTGTATCCGTGTTACGATTTTAAATATAATAAACTTTATGTAATGAACATCATTGTATATCAACTTGGGACATGGTACCACAAGCGCACAAAACTTGCATAATAATTAATCTAGGAAAAAAAAAACATTATCATTATCCATTTGTGTGTATTTTTTTCCCCACAAATAAGTATATGATTACAATGACATTACCCTACCATATGCAGTTCTCCTAACCCAATTGAGTCATATCTTGTGTGTTGTAAGTTGTAACCACATTATTATATATTTGGTTAAATATCATTTTCCAATAATTTTTGTTAGAAAAGAAGAACATCCTCAATTATTGTAATGTGGATTGTGTTTGTTCTATATATGGCTCAAGACCCTATTGTGTTACATTTTATTTATATATATAATAAGCATCTTCAAATAGATAATGTTCCTAGCTTCATTTTTAAGGCACCTTTAAAATCAATTTATGTATTAAGAATCCAAAATAACAATAGTTATCTCATTTAGTCTATGTTATGCTATGTATATAAATTTTCCTCTAGAGAATACAACACTAGAGCTATACAACCTGAAACACAGATTATGCAATAATTAGTTATCAGATTAAAATAAACATTAAGTGTAATAGTGGAGTTTAAATAAACTATATATCGTTAGTAATGATGATGCATCCACATGCAAATGCTCTTTGGTATAAGGTCAACGAACGAACCCTCTCTAGAAAATGATGCAGTTGAGTTTTTTCTTCTCTACCTTATTCAATACCTAAAAGACTTTTCTCATATTCTTCTCTAATTGGTTGATGATTGATCAAGTTGGACCTTGCTCTTATTAGTTACACCTATTTGCAATTGACCCGTTTGTACTAGGTTTATATAATACATGTTCATTGTTTTTAAATGTTATTAGCCAATGAAAGTTTTGGAATACATGCAATTAAATTTCTTCAGAATCTTTACTTTTTTTCAAAATGATAAACCAATGCTTTGTATGGTCTTAATGAATGATCTTAGACGTAAAAGCACACATTATAAAATTATCGTAGCATACCAAAAGAACTTTATACATTGTTTCTGTGATAAGTCTTGGTTCCATATCCCTCGCCTTTCCACCTCATACATCTTTCGTCGTTGCGATTCTTGTCGATGTCCTTCTTTTTTCCATTGTTCGCTCGATAGGATAATATTGTCTAGGGCTTAATTTATAAATAATTTGTATATATTGTTAACCTAGTTTGGAAATAAGGACGTCAATTTAAAAAAAAAATTTGAAAAGAAAATAAAAAAGAACTCCTATTAACGTAAATGAGTAATCTCTTTGAAATTTATATAATTGCACCCACTCATTTTAATTTCACATGTTTTGGAAAAGTAAGTAACTAATGGTTTCAATCCTCTATTCCTCTTGGACCAATGGCTTTATTACCGAAGACCAACAAATAATATATACCTTTATGTCCTGATGAATAAGTTAAGAAAAAGATATGTTTTATGATGATACAATATATATTAAACTATAAGAAGTTTCGAATGGATAATGTCAAAAATAAAAACAAGAAAACATATATGTAACGTTTATCTTTAGTTGTTGTTAAGCTGATGTGAGTGCAGAAGCTAGCAGACAATTGAACACTGCGGGCCATTTTAGTGTTTGTGTGTACAGATGGTAATGGAATCACTCTCTGTCTCTCTACGAGATAAAGGCAAAAAGAAAAAAATCGAAAGATTGCTTCCTTAAGTAATATGTACTATGGAAATTAAAATTCAACCTATTATATTAATAGTTGTCAAAAGAATATATTCTCTAATTAAATATATATATATATATATATATATATAATGCAAATGATTTTACAGTTTTTAGAAATTGATTTAAGTACAAAGTATAGTAACAAATAACCACCTTATATATCATTCACCTGCTAAATCCACTTTTCTAAGATTAAATTTGTAATACGACGAAACTTTGTTCAACTACAATGATTTGGTTATTATATATGTTGTTCTACTTGCATAATTCAGTGCCTTATTAACATATATAATATACAAATGATCATTAGAGAATTAGAATAACTAACCCGTGATTAAATAGTTTGGGTCCTTTAATTACCTTTTGTAGTATATATATATATAAGTTGATGACCAGCCAGCCAGATGCATGCATAGACCTTTAGAGAGGTTGGTAAACCAAATCAACTAAATCACACTTTTACTTATATTCTTTTGTGACGGCAACTTCACTCTTACATTCTTATATGACGGTCTTCTTCGGACATATGTTAATATGTCTGTCGACCAAAATTAGTTTAATTATTGAGGTGAATTAGCTTGATTGTGATTAACTCTTTAATTTTTTTCTTAATCGATTAACTAATATGTTGGATTCAGTAGTTCATTGAATTGATTTTAACTAAGTTCAGAATTATTCGAAAGTGAGCTTGTGAATATATATATCGAAAACAACTAATCATCTATATATATAAAGTTATCTTTTTCTCTCTTCTCATGATGCCACCTAAGCATCCACCTAAGCCACATTTTTGTTTAAACATTAAAATAAATTTAAAACATTCATTTATTGCATATTTATGTTACTTATTTAATTAATAGAAAGTTTAAATAAATAAAAATAAATCATGTAAAAAAATGAAATGTTAAAATAAGAAAAACAATAATTTAATTTTTTTATTAGTGGTAATAATATAATTCAACTTTCATTTTATATTGATCATAATTTAATATTTTAAATATGTTACTGAATTTTAGAATGGAAGTAAAATTTAAATTTATGGTAGAGTAAAACAACATTTATGTAATTGTATATATAAAGTTATAAAGAGGAAAAATAAAATGAAAGTGAAATATTAGTTTATAACATGATCAAAAAGAAAAAAATGATATTTCATAAATTGAATCAAATGATTTTAATCCAAATTTGAGTATTGAAAGATAATATTATAATATTTTTTTAAAAATCAATTAAAAAAAATAATAAAATATCACAATATGAATAAAAAATCAACGAAACAAAATTATAAACCTCCCGCGCGAAACGCGGGTCAACTGCTAGTATCATATAAGAATATATGATTAATTAACTAGATGTTACGGCGATTTGGTATCTGGTGCTAACTAAACGAAAGGGACTAGTTTGACTAGAAGACAATTAAAATGCTTAAATAATACTAAAACGTAATTATACTACAAAACTAATAAACTCTTTTTAATTCATATTGTCTCATTGTCTGTCTTATATTCACGAGTCGTGTATTTATATAAAGAAGCGTTAACATAACATAATCATACATATTGTGTATTTATATAAAGAAGAAGTGAAATATAAAGAGGAAATATATATAGCTAATTAAAGAAACAAAAAGAGTCTTTCGAAATGTTTACGTTTGGCTGTCCATCGTTTTGGAATCTATATCTTTTTATTATTTTTTGTTTTTTTTTTGTTCAAAAACCCTTTTTATTAATTTAAAGTGTTGATTAGTGTAACCACCTAATTTGGAACACATACACGTAAAACTATATATTAATAGAATTAATTTAATTTAATGAATGAGAATGACTGGTGATTAAGTAAGTAAAGTATATAACAATCTGCATGGGTACTAAGACCATTTGGTTGTCCATGTCATGCTTAGTTGTCAATTTTATTTCATTCTAGCTTTCATCATATGATAATGACAAATCTACCCAATTTATAAGCTAATATTATTGCTCTCTACTCTCTTTTTTTGGGGTCACATGCTAATTTTACTCTAAATGGAGATTAACAGCTAAACAGAAAGAAAAACCATTTAAAGAGTTATTTTACCAAATACCTATACACGTAATCTCTACATCAACACGATTTCAAAATTTTCCAAATTACTTAAGAGGTTTCAATAGAAACACTTAAATGTATTTTTTATGACATCATATATAATTCATCATTTTTCTATAAAACCTTAACAACGTATTAGACATAAAAATGTATCATAAACATCTAAAAATAATTCAACTAACACAAGAGATGGTTTAGTTAGTATATTTCATGTTAGAATACTATGGTTTTTAAGTTACAAAATTCGAACCGTTCATCGTAAATATGAAAATAATATATTAATATATTATTTTATAATTAAAAAAAAGTTAAATATCATACATTAAAAATGAAAATTTTATAGTCAAGTTCTCTGATTACTTTATTTTATGTTTTTGAATCTTTAATCGAAATCCTTATTTCGATTTTTCTTGATCGATCATCCTTGACATCACTAATGGAACTCATTAGCTTTAAATTTTTACACTTCTTTATACAATTAACGTCGGCAAAACCGTGGCACAGGCTAATACAAAAAAAAAAGGATAAGACTGGAAAAATAAAGATTAAGAAGACAAATCAGAAAAGAAAGAGTATTGAATAATAATAAATCTCTCCCTTATATAAACACCAAGAGCGTGGAAGCCAAAGAGCAATTTTCTCCTTACAACACCAAAAAGCAAAAAAATTAAAAAAAAATGAAAAACCTCTCTCTCTTATGTCAAAAGCTATAATAAAAACACAAATCATAAATCTCTTTTTTCTTTTCTTCTTAGAAAGATTAAAAAAAATGTCTAAATCATCATATTCTCACATCTTCTTCTTCTTCTTGATCTTGGGTTTGTGTTGTTTGAGATCATCATTAGCCTTCACGAATCTAAACACCTTAAGCTTCGAAGAATCACTTTCTCCTCTCTTTGGCGATGCTAATCTCGTCCGTTCACCTGATGATCTCTCCGTTCGTCTCCTTCTTGATCGATACACCGGTATATACACCTTTACATAAACATAGATCATTCTTTTTTTAATGATGATGATGATGATGATGATGTTTATGTTCGTATAGGTTCTGGTTTCATATCATCGAATATGTATCAACATGGATTCTACAGCTCCATGATCAAGCTTCCCGCTGATTATACTGCCGGCGTAGTCGTCGCCTTTTATGTAAGTCTCCGGCCTTGAATCTTTCTTTCATCAATCTGCATGAATCTTTAAATCTTTTTATTACTTTCTTGAAAAATAAAAACATTTTTCTTTTATTTGGCCGATAAAATCGTCATTGAAAATGGAATACCAAACGTTTTGTCGAAGACCAAACCCCCATGACACAAATTTCCCTGTTTGGTTGCCTAGAAAATAGTCATTAATTTTCCCAATGCACCAATCTTTAAAAAGACTTTGGTATATAATTTTTAATGTTTTAAAATGGATGTTGTAGACATCGAACGGGGACGTGTTCGAGAAAACACACGACGAACTAGATATAGAGTTCCTAGGGAACATAAAAGGGAAGCCATGGAGGTTTCAGACAAATCTATATGGAAATGGAAGTACACAAAGGGGTCGTGAAGAAAGATATCGTCTCTGGTTCGATCCTTCTAAAGAGTTTCATCGTTACAGTATCCTCTGGACTCCTCACAAGATCATGTAAGCTTCTTCTTCTTCTTCTTCATCATCCTATCATTTTTTTCTTTTAGTTGTTATATTTCATTAGCGTTGACTAAAACAATTTATTAAATTTGGTGGAAACAAAAAAAAAAAAAGAATGTTTGTCTTTCACAGAACGTTTCCTTTCTTTACTTTTTTTTTTTCCTAAGATAGTTTAATGAATCTATAAAAGTATAAACCATTAACACCTTTTTTTTATATATTACTTTTTCTCGTTTTTTAATTTGATTTTTAAAAATCGATAAAGAGTCAGCTTTTTTCAAAACAATCAATTCGTCATTATTGTTTAAACATCAACTTAGAGCTATCTTTATTGACGCGTATTAAGCCTCAGTCGTCACGCTCGCGTTCACGCGTAGTAGTTTAAAGCCAAATTTAACTGTTGCATTAATCTAACTTTTTTTTTTATTTGACCTTCGATTTTTCAAAATTAAAAGAAGAAACGTTAATCATAATTCTAAACAAAAATAGAATACATAAAAAGAAATGAGTTAAAACATAAATGTGAAACACTTAGGCCCGTTGGAGTGGCAATGCGTAACTATTAAAAGTTTAATGAAAGCAAAATGTTAATCATAACTTAAAAATATCATATAAAATTCCTTTTTATATCTTTCTGGTTATAGTCTACATTTATGTGTTTGTTTATATCAAATTTGTTTTCTAATGAAAATTTAACTAATGAAATTTTGTTTAAACATATATTGTAGATTTTGGGTAGATGATGTGCCAATAAGAGAAGTAATAAGAAACGATGCAATGGGAGCTGATTACCCGGCGAAGCCAATGTCTCTCTATGCCACCATTTGGGACGCTTCTGACTGGGCCACTTCTGGAGGCAAATACAAAGCTAATTACAAATTTGCACCTTTTGTAGCCGAGTTCAAATCATTCTCTCTTGATGGCTGCTCCGTTGATCCTATCCAAGAAGTACCAGTCGATTGTTCTGACTCCGTTGATTTCCTTGAGTCTCAAGATTACTCTACCATCAACTCGAGGCAACGCGCCGCCATGCGAAGATTTCGACAACGTTTTATGTACTATTCTTATTGTTATGATACCGTTAGGTATCCTCAGGCTCCGCCCGAGTGTGTGATTGTTCCCGCGGAAAAAGATAGGTTTAAAGATACGGGAAGGTTGAAATTCGGTGGTACCGAGGCGCGCGAACGGCGGAGAAATCGTCGGCAGCAACGTCGGCCTGAGATTGAGAGTGATCCTGATGAAAGAAGACTTCTATAATATTTATTTGTTCCATTTTTTTTTTTAAACTTAAAATTTGTTTGTGAGTAAAAGAAGAAAATAAAATAAAAGAGTAAAGATTTGAAAGAAAAAAAATGAATGAAATAGAGATAAATTTGATGGGCCTTTGGTGTAATGTTGAATGAGTTGAGCCCATTTATGAAGGCCGTATGTCTCTCAGCACATATGTTCTTCAAACTGCCAATGACACATAGGACATGAAGATGAGAACCAAAATGAAAAAAATGGGAAGTCAAGAGAATGACAAAAGCTTACACGAAACCGAGAAGTGTCTTACTCACATGCAATATAGCTACAGTACTGTTATGTTAAAGATATTATGAATAGAACTTATGTCAATCTCTGACTTGAAGGAAAAAAACTTAATTTATTACAAACAAACTTCGAAAACTTGATGTTTACAAGAGACAATACAAATAGAGAGAGATTTTAGCTGACCATATAGAGCAAGGGAAGGAATCAAATTTCAGAACCTGTAAATTCATCTAAAATAAGTTTTTCATAACCACCTCAGAATTTGGCGAATGGAGCCTTAAAAAAAAACAGATCTCTCTGCCTATATGATTCAGATTGTGAGATTTCAAATTATATTTTGAAAAAAAATGTTTTGGGCAGCCAATAAAAGCTTTGTACTGTACTTGAAGAGAGTGTCATGGGATCTTTGCAAGACATCTTCGAGATTTGATACTTTCTTCTTCTTGAAATTGGTTCTGTTTTCTTGAAATTGCATCAAGATTCGAGTGTGTGTTGAGTTTAAGTAAGTAAAAGCTAATCCTTTCATTGTTCTTGTTGACATGGCTAGTGGAACATCTAGAGCTCGTCCCAAAATCCTTTCTATATTCATGATGAAGATTCGTACATTCCGGTATGATTTTTACACCTATTATCTCTCAGCATATCTCAAAAGGAAATGAAAATGGCAACAAACCTCTATTTCTATCTTCAATCATATATACATATGACTTTTATCGATGGTGTAAGATTGTAAACCTTATAGTGTATTGTTTAAACATCAAAGGGCACACCCTGATTCTCGAACAAGAGAGTTAAATGTGAGAGCTATGGACTAACAGAAATTACGACTGCGACACAATGAATTTTGTCAATGAACATCTATAAAGGCATCTCCAAGCCGAACTCTTCCTCGGCTCTACCAAGATAAGGGTTTGAAACAAAGGCTGGTCCAAGTAAAAGACTGGCACAAGATACATTACCAAAAAGCTAGATTGGATTCATAGAGACGTCTAAAGAAAATAAACGCATAGACCCATAGAGCACAAATTAAAAATCTCATGCCTCATTGCTTTCACCTATTCCTTCTATCATTGTCCCTTTCTCTTCTCCTTGATCTCTTATACTCTTTATCACTCCAATGATCGTCTCTATCTCTCATCCCATGGTGGCTTCTTCTTCTTATTCTCCTCTCTTCATCTTCCCTATAGTGTCTATCACTTCTTTACTCTCGGTGCATCTTCTCTCTACTCACACCATCATCATCCCTCTTATCTTTGTCCCTTTCTCTTACTTCTTCCCGATGTTGGCCTTTTCGTGATGGCATTTAGGCTACGCTTGTTCTTCATAGATGGAGTATAGATGCTTAAATTGAGTTGCTTTGCATCGTTAAGACTAAGATCCTCTACATAATCAACAAAGGTGTAAACTCCGCAATCAGTCCCAAACCCTCTAAAACCTTGGATTTCAAACCTTTGGCGAGTGTTCCTCTTGGGATTGTAGTAGAAAACATAAAACGGTTTACATGTATAGTCCATCGACAAAACAATTTCACCTGTTGCGGTCACTCCAACAACTGATAAATACAAGGGAGCAACGATTTCACTGTTAGGCAAAGTGTAGACATCTATAGACCATTGTTGTTTCTCCACATCCTCTAGAATCCACATAGACAACTTAAGGGTGTCATCACCATACTCCCAACTAATCCCACCTAATTTACCTTTATAGTTTACTAGATGTAGATGCTTTTGATAACAATAGAGGTTTGCGTCTACAGTTTTGAATTCCTCAGACCTAACATCAAAGCAGACAATCACTTTAACCTCTCCAGTTAAGTCGTCGTCGTAAGCTATGTAATACAAAACCCCCATTGATGCATACCCCTATACTACAACGCCCATAGGCTAAGGGTGGACCCTGGATCTTCCTTATCATCTTATCAATTCCCTAAAAGGCCAGAGTTGTACCAATAATACCATTCGTGGTACCGTGTCGGTAAGATGGCATACCGTCCCGTGATAGGGTTACATATAACATGCTTTTGCACTACCTCTTTTTGGATCCGGCAATCATAGATACAGATCAAACCAGAAGAATAACTACAACTGATGTCGTCTGTACATGAAATGAATCTCATATGAAAATCTGTTGCTACAAGAGACAACTTCTCATATGGATTCTGAGGCTGAGGCGATGAGAAGAAGAGCCATTCATTGCCTTGGTTGATCGCAAATAAGAGACGTGGACGAGCCAAGGACTTGGTTAAGAACAACTCTGTGAAATATGGAAGGTTAAGCATCGACAGGCTACGAAACCTAGCGACAGACTTTGCCGGCAATCTCGAGAAAATCTCCATAATGACATCAGTTGGGATAAGTTCCAAGTTTTCTCTTCTTTTCCTCGAACTCCAAGAACGTTTATTGCGTTGGGAAATCATTGGCTTGTGGTGTTCTAACTGATTCACACCAGAGAAGAAGAATACAAGGCTAGGGTTGAAGTATGAAACCCTAGAAAACAAAACGTAAATAAGAAGCAACACTTCCATTTATATCTCCTAAAAAAACTGAAAATTCTATCTCCAATTAACCTCCCCTCTCCTGTTGGGCTTTGTGACCATAAACAAACAAATTTTAAAAATTGGATCATAACAATAATAACACTCGAACAAAACAAAACTATAGTCTTGACATATAAAACAACTCAACACAATCGTAACGTATTAAACCATCCAAACCCAAACATAAAAGAAACAACAATGTAATGATCTGTTTAGAAAAAAAATAATAATTATATTGTATGCTATGTTTCTTATACCATTCACTCTGTTTCGGTTCTCACCAGCACTATAATATTTACATATCTCCTATCTATAGGATGCTTCTAAGCCAACATAAACCAACCTCCATCAATATCTGAATTCTTAATAGTAATGTAAAGAAGTGAGAAGCAAATAGCAATAAGTCCCGACCAAACATACACAATTGTCGGAGTTCTTCCTCCTCTTCCCATCAAACCTTTAGCAAACGGATACATATGAAGCAAAACCCAAGCGGCAAAGAAAGTCCCACCAAGAAGATTACTCCACTGTGGATTCTCACTGAACACCGTCCTACAAACCGCGAAAAGTATCCCTACGATGTTCAAGATTATGATCGTTAACGGAGGAATCATTAGAGCAGTCCATTTAAAGAGATAAAGATCGGCGAAATCGTCGTCTTCGTCATCTGCTCCTGTTGAGGATTTTGAAGTCAAGGTGAATGAGATTTCGATTCCGGCTATTACTTTGAGTATGCCTTGAAGCACCGCGACTAAATGTGCGCTTGTACCGCCTATTAACCAGAACTGTTCGTTTCTCCACCATTCTTCTAAAGAGATACCTGACCATTTGACTTCAAGAACGGCTAAGCCACATAGACACAATGTGATTATCAAAAGGTATACAAGGAATGATCCGGTGAGTGTTTCAACAACGAAGTGACCCGAGAAGAGAGATAAAGGCGGGAGGAAGCAATAGGTTAAGATGAAAATGCTTGTGAATGGATATATCCCAACATTGAGGTAAGCGATTCTTTGGAGGAATTTGAGTTTCCGACCAGCGAAAATGGCGTTGTTTCGGGAGAAGAAGATCTCTACTGATCCAGTTGCCCAACGGAGAACTTGATGGAGCCTGTCAGTTAGGTTTATAGGTGCTGTTCCTCGGAATGCATCTGGCTCTGTTACACAATAGAATGATCTCCATCCTTTTTCATGCATTCTAAAACCGGTCACTACATCTTCGGTTACTGATCCGTAAATCCAACCAACATTGATTCCCCATTCTGTTTTGTCCTCATACCAGCAGGAGATCACGTTAACCGCCTCGTTTACCATCGCAAAATCAAGCGGTTCACGGCTTTCAGTCAACGACCCGGGAGGACGTCCGCGTCTGCTCGGGTGAATTGTAGCTAGTGGCTTACCTTGAAACTCAGCGACCTTTACAGAACTCACTAGCATACTCGAGCTACCGAATTGCTTTGGAATCAAACTGATATCAACCCGGTCTTGGTCCTCGTTGTCACTACAATACTCTGGCTCATACGCTACAGTTGCGGGCCTGCGTTTCTTGATCCGCGGGAAACAGCAGTTGAAACAACCAGATGGTTCTTGATACGCCACAAAAACATCAGGAGGGTTGAAACCGTAAAGCGCGGTTCGACGAAATAGGCATCCTGTCCCGACATACATTGGACCTTGGATCCCATCGAGAGCCCGCAGATTAATGTCAAAGAAAACAGTATTCTTGTTAGCATAGCGGTCAGACGGATCAATTCCTTCAAACCTTTGGGGAAACTGAACATAGCAAACGCGGTCACCATCACGGTCCATCATGAAACAGATCCCATCTCTAAATGCTCTAGAGTTGTTGACATAATGGTCACAGTCCAAGTTCAAGATGAATGGTCCATTAGACATTATAGCTGAGGCTCGTACCAAAGCATTCATAGCTCCTGCCTTCTTGTTATGGTCATAGCCAGGCCGCTTCTCGCGGCTCACGTAAACAAGCATCGGTAAACGAATGTCTATTCCTTCAAAATCAAGTGCGCTCCCCTCACCGCCTGTCCGTAAAACCGGTGTATCTCCAGGAGGATCAAGCAACACCTGCAAGAAAACAAACATATTCATTCTCAATGCATGAGTCAAACACAAACGCTATTTCAAAACAATAAGAGATCAAATATTACCTGAATAATACTAGCGTGATCGCCTTTCGAATGGTGCAGACAAGGGACAGCCCAAGTACCTGGCCAATGAGTCCCATCGCTCATCCAAGTAGCTTTAGGAGCTACTAAAGCAGGCCTAGGCTCCTTATATTGATCCTCTTCAACTTTCACCTTCCAATGCTTCCATTTCTCTAAAGCTTTAATCTCTTCTTTGCTATTATAAGCATCTGATCGCCTTCTAATCGAATGAGACAGCGCGTTAACCCGAACCTTAAACTCCTCGTAACCTCGTTTCACATACCGTCGCTCTCTAACAAAATCATGTCTCACCTTTCCCTTATAAGGATCCCTTTTCAAACCAAAGTAACTCTCCGGATTCCTCGGCTCGATCATATGTTTTCGACAAAACGGTACCCATGTTTTCGCAAAGCTAGCCGCTTCAGCCATTGCTTCAAACGTAAGAAGCGATCCTCCATCATCTGAGACATAACAAGATAGCTTCTGAACAGGATAATCAACTGATAAAATGGAGAGAATTGTGTTGGCTGTAACTAATGGAGGCTCTTTCTCTGCATCAGCCGTTGAAACAAACACATCAATCCCGGGAAGATCAGATTTCTCGGTTAGCTCATCATCATCCGGGTTTAACGATTCGAACGTCGCCTTTAAGGCTTCGATATCTGTTGCGTGGTTCACAGGGTACAACTTAGGGATTTGGTCGAGTAACCAAGAGAAAGCAAACCAGATTTCGCAGATTACAGAGAGTAACCATAACCATATTGCTTTGTTGTTTGGGTTTTTGATTCTCCAGATGAGAAACAGAACAAGAGATACTACTCGAACAACTATAAGAATCCTGTAATAAAAAAAAAACATAATAAAACAAAATCAGAACACATCCTTAAAAGTGTGACATCGAAGTGTTTGTAACTGACACGACAGAGATTTTGTTTTGTTTTATTACCGATAAAGAGCGATGATGATCGGAGAGATTTTGACGATACGAGTTAAAGGAGGAGATAACTTGTAAAGCAAGGTATCGTCTTCATCTTTTTTTCCTTCACTGATTCTCAGATCGGTTTGATCCGGTTCGTCGTCTTTGCAAGATGAAGCAGTATCGGTTTCCACCGGAGTGTTCGGAACCGTCGCCGGATTTGAATCGACGTCCCGGAGTTGGATTGAAACAAACGCCGGATTGTTGCCCGGCGTTAAAGGTACCTGGACGATGTAACTGGTGAAATCGTCTCTGCTTCCGAAATCGCTGCCGGAGTTTGACACGTGGCTGATCCTCGGGTGCCTTATAGGAGATTCTCCGTACATCATAACTCTGATTTTTTTTGGTCCCGTCGCCGGAATCTGGAGATATGAAACGGAACAAAAAAACGGCACTGAGTGAGAAAAAATATCAAAGTTTTGATTTTTAATGAAAAAAAAGTTGTGGAGAAGATTAAAAAATTGGGAATTAAATCAGTAAGAGACTCTTACGGTTTTGATTAAAAATCAGAATCAGTAATGAGATTTTTCAAAAATGTTACTTCTTTCTCTGTTTTTTTTTTTAATTCACCATTAACGCAAGTTTCTGAAATATTTCATCAAGAAAACACGAATTTTGCTATGGAGGTAATCTACAAAATCATATTAAATGGTCAACATATGTGAAAAAAAGATTTGGTTACCTTAATCGGGATAATTAACTTATGAATTAGCGAATTTGTTAATTTTTATTTTTTATTTCCTACAGCGAAATTGTTATTTAAGTTAGTATTAAATGAAAAAAAAGTGTTGAACAGCTATTAATGCAAAAGAAGTGTGTACACCAAAATTAAGGTGGTGGTGGTAGAAACGGGGAATTCGAGTAATTGTAAAGGGTAGTTTTGGTATTTGCTCACTGAGTCATGCATGACTTAGTCCACGCGGGTTGAATCAGACAAGGAAAAGATTAGGACTGAGTTTGGAAACGTTTAGTTTTAATTTTTCCATTACTAATCACTTAATTATTGTAAGAGACACTGAAGTAATTATTTTTTTTTGGAATTTGAAATTGTAAAGATTTGTAAAATGGTACTCAAAATATTATTTAACTAAGTTATGGTCCAATCAATGAGCCCATCTTATGTACTTATGACCAGAGTATAATGATCCCTTTTCAAAAAAGTTTTGAATGAGCATGAAGTTAAAAGGTTTTGAATGAAGAATGAAAATTTCACTGAGCTTAATATGGATTAGTCTCCTATTTTACCATTTCCATAATCCATAATGAATTAGATGAATGATTCTTTTGACGTTCGAGTTTATGATGTAATTCAATAGGTTGACTCGCAAATTACGTTTGACTTTGAAATTATAAACACTTGTATATTTCTTCTATTGAAATTATATGCAGTCGTATTTGTATATTTCTCATTCTTAGAACATTCAAGTTTAACGAGTCCAAAGATAAGTATGCTGATCGAAAGTCGAAACCACTATTTGAATGATCGTTTTAACTAAAATAAAATACTCCAACAGGTTTGACATAAACAAACAGTTTTGACTTGGTCTTTGTATGGTTTTGTTTTTATGTCTAGGTATTGTAACTTGTAATGGGTCATAACCAAACAAGCTAATGAGTCGAAACAAATCTATCACGTAATGTGGTTCGAAACGTAGTATGGTGGATAAGGCTTTAACTATGGCATTTTTGACAAAACTTGTTTCTTCTTTTAATTAACCAAATAAAAATGTCAAGTGCTATTTGCATGAACTTTTCTCGAGATAGCTTCTAATTAGTTCTTCCATTGTACAATTGTTTTTCACGTAATGTAAATATCAGACTAATACAACATTGTATTTGCACTATAACGACTACTCACGGTTAAGCATCTTACATACCAGAAAAGAACGATTTAGAATCATAGCTATCATGGATTCCAAGTATTTTCATATTACGACTTTGGTGCTCCATAGGTATATGACTTCAAGAAATATGGGTATCATTTTGTTTCTTTATCATGCTTAAGTAGTTGAAAGATTCACTATTTGGTTTGAGAATTAACAAGGGTTAGAATTTTACCAGTCTAAACCATTTGCATAATGCATATGTAAGGGATTCGATAATTAAACTAAATAAACTTGATTTGAGAAACATTAAACTTGCTTTGGTTCAAGATTCAAGATTTCTAATTTTTTCATATATTTTTTTCCTCGGAATGATAAATTAACTTTTAGCCTCAAATCTTGAGTATCTTCCCATGAATCTCCTAATGTTTTTTTACCAAATCTTTTCAACAAAATCTATACAAAAATATCAAAATAATATTACCCTTCAATCTTAACCACCGTAGTAGTCCCTCTGCTCTCCCTCTCCCCCTCTTTCTTCGTCCTCCCTCCGCCGCAGCAACACAGCCAGCTAAAACAACCGGCAAAGCAACAACAACCCCGACAACACTCGGACTCAGGGCATTTTAAACAGTTCCAACAAGAGCATTTTGGCTTTCCAAAGCAGCTGCATTTGAACTTGGGACAGCAACAACTACTTACACAGCTCGGTTTCTTGCAGCAAGAGAAACATCCCTTAAAAGATGGACACGAACACTTGAAACAACCGCAATCGCCGCAACCACAACCGCAACTGCAGTTAGGTTTTGGACACCGAGATTTGGAACAGCTGCAGCTAGGTCTGCACAGTCCTGAACTACAACATGCTGTTGATTCGTCTCGCCTACGGATTTCTTGCCATATCTTTTTGAGACGAGACTTGGTGGTAGTATTCTCCATGTCTTGTATGAACCGGTGGAGATGTCTAATGTAGTCCGGATAGATCTCGAGGTTGCAATGTCCACCACCTTTAATCCAGAGCGGTTCATACGGCTCCTTCGCCAATTTCCAAAGCCTGTTTCCGTGTAACCAATTCACCACATCGTCCTCTGTTCCCTGCGTAATGATAAAATCGTATGATCAGTTATGTTTTACAGATTCAAATCGGCTTGAGGCTGAAGATACGGACATGAAAATGAGTTTGCTTACGTGTATGACAAGAACCGGGCATTTCACCTTCTTTATCTTGTTTACGTTCTGCAATTAAACAACAATATCAGTACGAGAATAGTATTAGAAACCATTGACCGGTTAGCTTCCAAATTAGCTATAGCCACTTCTAAATCAGTCAGCTTCCACATTAGCCTTAGCCACTTCTAAATCAGTTAGCTTCCACATAAGCCATAGCCGCCACTTCTAAATCCGGTTAACTACCACATTAGCCATAGCAACTTCTAAACCAGTTAGCTTCTAAATGAGCCACATCCACTTTGTCAACAGGTTGTCCAACGAGCCACTCTCATAGGCTATCTAAACTTTCAACAATCCATAGGACATATACAACAAGTAACACACCGGACTATCGACTAGTAAAACATACGAACCTAGGTTTCTTTTGACTAGATTTGCGTGCTTTGGTCATTCGTTCTTCCTAAACCAGGAACTATAAGCCATTTAAATCGGAAATACAAAAAGTGGAAAGCAGAGGGGATACTTACCGAATAAATGTCACAACAAAACTTGAACTTGACATGACATAGAACACGGAGACCAGAGAGAATGCCGCTATGAAGAACCACACCTCTAAGCCGGGGAAGCTTAGAGGCAAGATGCAATGTCGGTCCGCTGCCAACGGATTGACCATACAAGACCAAATCTTCTTGATCGACCCCATAGTCCGTCTGAAGACACTCATAAACCGCCTCTATATCCGCATATGTATCATACTCACTCGGCTGCAAACACAAAGAGAATTCTCAAACCGATCAATATAAGAACTCAAAATAACGCCTGATCAATCATTCTAGGGATCGATACGGAGCATTCCTAGGCTCTATGAGACTGATACAGAACATTCCAACAACCTAGGAAGATTTCTAGGTTACGATTTTGATTAAATTTGTCATTGAGTAGAGGAGATGCATTGACACACCTTACCGGTAGAAGCTCCATAGCCTGAATAATCATACCTGAAAATTTCAAAACAAAGATAACAAAAAATTAAAATCAAGAACTCAAAAACCATAAATGAAGCGTCATAAATTGACTGACCTTATACTATTGATTACTAAAATGAAACGTTACACGTTATATATTATTATCACCAACCTATTTGAATCCAACGTTATCAAAGAGTAAATACTCAAATTGATGGTGGGTAGGTGAGAAATCTCGAATTGAATATTTTCAAAGTAAAAAAAAGGACAAATTCAGGAAAATTAAAACGACAATTAACAAAACAAAACACCAAACATTTTTCACTAAAACTATGCAAATTTTACACAAAAAAAGGCAAAAGAAATAAAATTTGTCGAAAATATCACCAAATCTGAGCTTTTTGGGCAACGAGACAAGAGCCCATTTCCCAAAAGCGTGAGCTTTCTCAAGAAAAACATAAACACATTAAAAATATTCAAGGAGTTAAAGAAAAATGTAAACCTTTAACCAAAAAAAACAATTTTATAAAAACAAAAAAAAAGTACAGTACTATATGCTAAGTTCTTAGCAAAATCTTAATTTAATTATACGATCCTAATAAGCATAAGAAATCTCAAGAAGTGGTCATTAAGATCATTGGTTAATACGAAACGACGACGTATGAAGAGTATGAACATATTGAGAAACAGAGACTCAGAGAGAGAGAGAGACCCGATGAGATTAACTCGGAGATTGACTTTGAGTTGAACAAAGAGATCGAAGAGTTGTCCTAAATCTGCGGCATTTCCATGAGAATACAAAAGTGTGAGTCTTGCGTTAGGGTTTCTCAGGTAAAAAGCTGTGACTTTGTTGCCTCGTCTCGTCTTCACGACTTTCACGTCGAGAGATGGGTCTCCGGCGGAGGGAAAAGTGGAGGAGGAGGAGGAAGCGGAGGAGACGGCTGAGAGTTTGCCGTCGGGGGTTTTGGTAAGGTGATAGGTCGGAGGAGAAGGTGGGAAGAAAGCGAATTTGGCGGCGAGGTGAGAGAACATGCACCCCATTAGAGTGAGTTTGGTTACGGCGGAGTGTACAAAGATGTGTGCATCAGTCCACCGCTAGAGAGAGAGAGAGAGAAACAGAGGATGAGAGAGAAGGATACACACTTCACACAGAGAGATGTAAAAAGAAGAGAGTACTACAAGAAGACGAAGAGTAACAGAGAGATTAAAGAGAAGGAGAGAGAGAGAGAGAGGCTCTGTGTTATGTGTGTGTGTGAGAGAGAGAGAGAGTACAGAGGAAGAAGAAGAGAGAAGAGAGAGAGAGAGAAGTGTGAGAGTTAAAGCGTGTGAGAGTGAACGTGCGTTTCCTAGGTAATTGGTTATAGTGCTCTGTCTTATTACTGTTTCTTCTTCGTTTCTATTTTTATTTTTAATTATTTTTACTATTATTTGTATTTCTGTTCTTTAATTGTTGCATGTTTAACAACAAAAAAAAAAAGTTTTGAATAATAAAAACAACTAATATTGTGTGAATAATATCAATGAAATTTCAATCGGGGAGAAAATAATTTCATTTTATTATTTTTTGGTTACAGAAAGAAAAAGAGTTACAAATTCTTGTTTTGTTTTGTTTTGTATTGTAAAATTTTTTAGGGATTTTCTTTTGTATGTAGTGTATTGTATAATGTATATGGAGCAAAATGTAGCAATGGACTTATTGCTTTCTCGATTTCTGCCTGCACTTTTTATATGTTTTGGGGTAATAATACTGTTTCAATATTATTTTTTTTGTTGTTGTATCATTCTTTATATATTTTCTTACAAATTTTGGTTGGACTTTTTTGGGTAATCCTTTTTAAAATTTGAACTATCTTTTTGAAAACCAAAATTTCTAGAAGTATGGTAAATAAGCTTCATTTATCTATTTATTTTAGTTTACATTCAGACTTTGTGATGAAAGTTCATACAAATATGTGTTTGTTACAATTCTTCCAAAATATGTTTATCTTTATTGGCCAACAAAAAAAAATAGAATTAGTTACAAGTAAAAAAGACCAATTCGAGAAATAAAAAAGCACATTAGAGATTTAAAACAAACTAAAATGATGGAAACAAAAATATTGAATAGAGCCATACATAGCCAAAACTTCTTGATATAATCCGAAACAAGCCGTCAAGTTTATGATTTCGCTGATATCAAATTAAGAGATACATTCGGTTACCTACTACTTTCTCTATCAAACAAGTTTAAGCAATCTTGTGGACATTTGAACTATGTCAACTTATGTTTTCTCTTTCTAAATTTAGTAAATTTGTTGCTCTACAAGCCATGACCAGTCAGAGAAAGTGATCACTGATGAGTCTTATGCTAATCAATGTTAATGGTAAAAAGTTTTTTTTAATTTAAGTAATAATTATTACTGGTCAAAGTTATGGAGCATTTATAGTTAAAGTTGAATAATCTACTTTACAATACTAACTAGCTGATACAACACTAATGTATGCATAAATAATTGAGTTATAGTGTAAGATTATAACTGAAAAAAAATTACAAGATCAATCGACAGACTATACTTTTAGAACTGATGTTATAGACTTATAGTATGTATTTTGTATTTTGATATAAATATAGAGAGTGAGTGACAGAGCCACATTTATTAATGGTATTTGATGGGGAAGCATGTAACGGGGCCTTTCATTGTTCACCTATCGTCCAGACACATGCAATTATTGCATGTTTTTTGTCTTTCTTATTATAATATATATCAAAAGAAATCAATCCAATCGAAGAAATGTAAAAACAAAGAGCATATAAAAGAGCTTTGAAAGATAATATATGTAATAGGGTGGAAAGCCACAGATATACTAAGTGGTTTCAATTGACTAGATTTGTGTTTAGACAAAACATTTTCATGTAAATTTTATACATACATTTTGTAGAGATGATTGTGCGCATATGATATGTTGCGATGTTTGATGTTTCTTTGGTGCTCAAGTAAAGAATCTTATGTTTTTGTATGTATGCTAGAACTTATATATATTTTCTTACCGTTATGTTTTATCTCGTTCGGATGTTGGACTTTTGAATCTTGTGTTTGACCTTATCATGAAGGGAGTAGAAGTTATATGATGTAACCTATCAGTCCCACAAAATGCTGAATACACACACATTGTGAAGACAGATACTAATGTTAGGTTTCAATCGAAGATGAAGGTGTGGAATCTTTAGGTTGAGGACACACTCTATACGTGTTATGAAGGTATTATCTTGTATTTAATGTGCTTCCAATTGTTTTTGTGTTACATGTTTCTTTGCACTCTTTACATACAAAATGTTATTTATTCTTTTAGTGATGCGACATATATTGTTATTATTTTTGCGTGCCCGATCTCAAAGTCACTAGTTTTAAGGTTATTTCACATAATGTCATCCATTATTTTATTTTTAATGAACGTTCACAACAAAATGCATTATGAACTTCTTCTAATGAAGACTCCATTTTGAGTTATATATATATATATATATACATATTTTTTTCTTTTATCAAACCTATCTATATTTCCTTGTAACTAAAATACTTATCACTTGATCAGAAATTCAAAACTTTATTATTAAAAATAAAAACATGTGAAACAAATGCATTTAGATCAAATTAAATAAATATATGTAAAAAAGATGATGTTTAACAATAGATGTCGGCCAAAAAAAAGAATATAGATGTTTAATAGAGATACTCAAAGTGATGACTGCAAAATTTTTGGAAAAGTTGTGATATTTGTTAAATTGGGAAATTAAGATTATAATATTTTCAAAAAAAAAGGGAAGTCCCGACAAGTCGTCAAGCTAGCCACTTACACAGATTACTCTACGGAGGCGCGTGAGATGAGGACGAAGGAGCTCTAAACTAAACAAGTGTTTGTGTTTTTCAATTGGACTATGGAGATGTAATAAGTTTGACTTTGGCCCTAAAAGAGAGAAAGAGAGATCTGTCTTTGTTTTGTCCGTAGGTGAGTCCCCACAAAAACACAGCTAATCAGATTGATTTTTTTTTTGCTTACTATTTTAGATTTTGTACAAATCTGTTCAGTTCGGTTCGGTTCCTCCTCTTTTGTGGTCCTCTCCTCTTGTGTTTCCCACTCCTGCTCTGCCACGTGCTTCTCCCTGATTTCAGTTTATTCAATTTCTAAAGTACAAAAACATGTTTTTCAATTACTTGTCTTCTTTTTCTTCTTCTTCTTCTTTGTTGCATTGGCTTTGGCTGGCTTATTCATGTTTATTTACTTTATGTTTTTGACATGTTTTGGTGTTGCAAACACGTATGACACTGAAGAGTGGGAATATATATTTGGTGTGACTGATGTGTTGTAGGTAGGCTAGTAGTAGTGTATAGCAACAAGTAAAAACAAAACAATGGAAAATGAAATTTTAATTTGTACTATAAGGAACTCTTTTTTCTCCCCCTTTTACGTAGACTATCATGTTTTTTTCGTAGAGTGGATGAGAGATTCTTGGATAGATGTTGATTTAGTGGTGGTTAAAAACGCATATTAGCACTTTAATTAGAATTATATAAATTAATCTGGGCCATGAAATGTTTTATAAGATACTATATGGTCTACATTGTTCACTTTTTACGACATGTTTAATAGAAATTGAACAATGGTTTTGTTGGAGGTGGACGAAAAGCTAACTTTTGTATAAAGATTGTATCATGAGTTTTATAATCTTTTAATAACTCGGTTTCCTAAGTTGTTGTTGATCTATGAGAGTCGACCCGATAATACATACTCCATTAGGGTCTATGCCTGCCTCGCCAAAACAAGCTGGCTACAAATTTATAAAGGCTAACCAAACTGGCTACATATTTCTATAACTCACAAAGGTTTAAGTTAATAATGTTTACAAATAGGAAATATTTATTCTTTGTAATAGATATAACAAAAGTGGTATTGAAGGCTAAATATCACAAAAACTTTAAGAGATAAGTTAAATTGGTATTAAAGGCTTAATACTTCAGTAAATCACAAAGGTAAAATTAATAATGATAGGTAATTATTAGGGAGTTCATGAATTAAGAAAAGATGCTCCAAGAGTCCAAGGTGGAAGGCACAATTAGTAAATCCAACGCAAATTAAGTGGGAAGATAAATACGACTAAGAAAGAAAATATCGTCACTTAATCACCGTACTATGAATTTTGATCAAATCATGCTTTAATACTGATTAGAGCATATATCATAATTATGTTTAGAAACAGTCTTTACAAAACAAAAAAAAATTCAAAAACGGTGGCCGTGATTGTGACATTCATAAACTTTTGCATCATCCCTTTGGTTAAGTTAATTATCCACCGAAAATATACAAAGCAATCGATATTCAATGTACTAATTAGTTACCAAAAACAGTGATTTTGAAAGTGTTTATATTAAATATGAAATTCGCATATCTATTTAATATAAAATTGTTAACTAATCAAAGTTAGCAGTTCAAAAAATAGTAAGTGGGCTAATGGTTATCATTTTTATTGTCTTCTCATCAAATCCAGATCTTAATCTGATTTCTCTTTAAAAAAGAGGCATATAATTTGTAGTAATGTTAAAAAAAAAATCAAAATTTGTGGTTCAAATGATTACGACGATTAGAATAAATAATTCTAAATATAAATTAAACTATATTTTCCTTACCATTTATAATTTATATATATTTTTTAAATTATTGATCAAATGTAGAAATTTGCTTTTTTTGAATAAAATGAAAGGGTTTCCCATACAAGAATCCAATTGAATAATAATAGAATCGTCGTCTGTCTGGGAAGGCTTAAACGTCACTCTTCTCCTTACAACGTGGATTCCAACATCGATACATTTTGTTTTTATTCAAAGCCAAAACTAAAATAAAAAAATTGCGAATAACACGAAAACAAAAACAAACTGAATAATTAAATAAGTGGGTGGATACACGAGAAAACTAAAATACATCCAAATAAAAAACTGACAAGAGATTACTTAAAAAAATTATACATGAAACAAGGGTCTGAGAATGTGAAAGGATTCGAGAGGCACGTGCGATCAAAAATCGCATTGAATCAAGAAGTGTGCAGAAATATTAAATAAGGGGTGCATGCTCCTCGCTGGGACTCGTGCATCCTAAAAAAACTTGTACATGCCATTTGTATTCCTATGGTTTTATCGCAAAAAAACGTGAGGGTAAAGACAACGTTTTTACTATTTACCTTAAAATTATACAATAACAAACGTAAGATAACAAAACCT